GCGGTCGGTACTGCACCATGCACCCCCAGACGCGCAGCATCGATGTGTCCCCCTTTGTCCCAGTCCACTTGACGTGCGGGGACAGGTTGCCGGTAATTGCGGTGGTCGAAAGCAGGTTGTGCACCCGCACGGCGTGGTGCATCGCGTAAGTCCAGTAGATCGGCGGCAGCTTTGATTGCTTCATCAGCGCGCGCACCTTCGTCATCAGCGTGCGGTTCGTCCGCTCAGCTACGCCCTGTTGCTGGTGTGCGTAGGGGAGGGAGATGTGATGCTCGATCCCCTTTTGCGTCAGGAATGTCTGCATCTGATTGCTCCTGAATTCTGCCGCGCCGTCGGACTGCCAGATCTTGAGCTTCTTTCCAGATTGCCGCTCCGCATGTGCTAGCCAGAGGCGGAACACCTCGTAGGCTCTGTCGCGCGTCTCCACGTTCACGACCCATACATAGCGTGTTCCTGCGTCGATGAAGGTAAGCGTGTAGAGTTCGTCTTCGATTCCGCAATGCCCCACGTTCAGGAAATCGCTGTACACCTTGTGCAGCTTGGGGTATCGGTTGGTTCCAGGTTCGAGCAGCGGGAACGGTTGGTGGCTCAGCGCAGCTTCGGGGCAGACGGTGCAGTTGCGCGGATGTGTCGCGCCACTCACTTCGGAGCCATCAGGGCGCAGGAGTGCGCCAGGAGCGAAGACGCCAGCGTCGATGCAGTTTTTGAGCGTCGCGCGGGAAGGGTGTCCGAGGCGCTGGTGCCAGAGTGCATCATCAGCGCGAAAGCCGGAGGTGCGCATATAGCGCGCGCGCGCTTCCTCGGGGTCTTCGTCAGGTACAGGAGCAGGTTCTGCTGCTACTTCTTCTGCTTCTTCTTCTGCCGCGGTGGTCAGCATCAACGCCAAGAACTCTCTGTCGCGAATTTCAGAGAGCGGGATGTTAGTCCCAGGGATGGTTCCAGGGACAAGGGTAGGTTGGCGTGGTTCAGGGGCAGGTCCGTAGATAGTGCGACGCGGGGTTGACGGCTCGTTGCCCCAGGTAATGGTGTCCCACGGGTCGCGATGCGGGGGAATGTCTGCAGGAGGTGGTGCGAGGGGAATGCGGCGCGGGGGACGACCGAGAGGAACGACTGCAGGTGCTGCTTCGGTCTCCGCGGCTTCTTCCTCTCCCCCCCTTCGTTCTTCGCGGGAAGTGCCCCAGCCGCTATTGTCGGCGCCAGATGCGGCGCCCCATCCGCCGCTCGCGTTGGCCCAGGTGCCGCCGGTGTCACCCCATCCGCCAGTATCACTGGTCCCCCATCCACCAGCGCTTCCCCACCCCCCTTCATTGGAGGCGCTTGCTTCTTCCTCAGCTCCCCAGGCGGTGCAAGCGAAGGTCCCGCGTGCTTCCGCGAGGCTTTGCTGGCGAAGCTCCTCGGCTTCGCGGCGCGCCAGTTCTTCCTCCTGTTCCACGGCGATTTCGGCCGTGGGGTCGCGCCAATGGGGGTAAATCTTTTGAAAATCTTCGCGGGAGTAGGGTCGCGGCACGCCATGCGCATCGAAGGTGCCGACGCCAGTTCCGCGGAGCATCCCTCGAAGGTGTTGAGAGGGCGGACCGGCAAGAGGGTACTTAGGCGTGCCGAAGACGCCATGCGTGGTGACTTCAAGTTCTAATTGCGACATGCCTTCTTCTGGTGGCGCGTGATGTTCTGCTTCGGCGATGGCGGCGAGTCCGCGGCCGGCAATGGCGCTAGTTGACGTCGTCGGCGTGTGGCAGTCTTTGCACATGCCATTTGCGTCAGGGTCGTGCAGCGCTGTTTCTCGTGGGTGTGGATGATGTGGCACCCACGGTCTCCCGTCAGGGTGCTTCCAGTCCCTGCGGTGGATGTGCTCGAAGCGTAGTGGCACGAGATCGATTAGTTCGTGCGAGTCGCCGCTGCAGTCGGGGATGTCAAAGTCTAGGACGTACACCCCATTGTCGGAGTGTGCTCGTCCGATCTGCCGGCGGGGGAAGTTGCGCGCTTCGTAGTGCAACAAAATATCGCGCGTCGCGCGGTCCGTGCTGAGTTCGACGCCGCAATCCATGAGCTGTGCGGCGGACAGAAGGTTGAAGCGCAGGTTCTGGACGATCAGCACATCGTTGAGCGTGATGTGCGTGCGGCTCCCGCGTGCTTTGAGCACGACGATGCCTTGCGCGCTTGCGCGCAGGCGCGTGTTGTTCGCCACAGTGACATAGGTGGCGGTAGGAGTGGGGATGGCGTTGGATATGTAACGCTCGGAGCCCACCATATGCTGGCCGCAGCAGCTGTCCAGGTACCAGGTGTTGTAGCGCTTGTTGTCGTCACGGGCGAGCAGCGCCAGTCGCGGTGTGACGATGTGCGGAGTGTCGAACTTCAAAAATTGCTCGCGCGAGAGCCAATCAATTGGCGCCACCCGCATATCAGGTACGTGCGGGGGACTTTCAAGCAGCGGGACTGGAAGGTTCCAGTCTTGGTCGTCGTCGTCGGTGAAATCGTGGCGCGGGTTGAACGGGTTGTTGTTGGTGAACGCGCCAATGGGGTGCGGTGCCGGCTCGGGTGAAGGCGAGCGGGCACGGCGACGACGCGATTCGCTGGTCATGGCCATGTTGCTCATGACGTTGCGAGCTGGGGCAGTCGGTGACGGCTGCTGCTGCTGATGCTGAACCGCTGGGTTCAGGTTGCGCGCGGAAGGGGGCTGATACCCCTGGGCATGACGCGCGTCGCCTCGTGCGTCTTGACGGCCGGACCAGGTGCTCGGATTGGTCTGGCGAGGGCGGGATCGGTTCTTGCATCGATCCGCCAGATGCCCGAAATTTCTGCAGATTTTGCAGTAGAGGCGCCGTGGCTTTCGCTCTTCGGTGTTGTCGGCGTAGAAGGCGAGCCTTTCGCGTTCTCGTCGCGGCGCAGGTCGCTGCTGATCCATATCCCTCTGTTCGACGAGAAGGGCGGCGCAAAGGGCGGCCTCCGAGATGACCCCCTGCTGTCGAAGAAGCGCCTTGCAGGGCCGCCACTCTGGGCCGAGCCCTTGAAGCACGATATTCACGAAGATTTCTTCCGAAATCGAGCTTCCCAGCTTCGCGATTTGATCGCGAAGGCTTCGTTAGCGATTGATGTAGCTGTTGGCCTTCTCCCCTGGGGCCATTTTTGTTTCCAGTAGCTGCTGAAGCAGCCGGCTCGAGGAGACGGAGTCCTTCGGCTGATACACACCGTTGAGGTGTCGCCAGGCTTCAAGGGCTGGGGCGGCCGAAGTCTTGTATGAGCGTATGCTCAGTTGCTCCGTCGGTGCCATGTTCCGCAGGAGCACCCCGTACGCCATTAGGGACTCGTTGTAGTAGCGGGTCCTGGCGTCGTCCGTGTCGTCGGCAGGCTCCGCGTAGCTCCCGTCGAAATAGTGAAAGATTTGGGCGTTCTGCAGCAAGAGCTCCAACTCGAAGCTCCAGGTATAGAAGTCTCTGCCGTCAAAACAAGTACTTGTCTTTATTTTTGATATGCTCAGAAACTTTGATTGAGCAGAGAGAATTGCCTCTTCACTGGGACGGGGAGCCTTGGGGGTTGAGCCATTGGTGTCGAGAGAGAATGTGTGCGGGGCGGCGTTCTGGCCAGTTGGGGCCGGTTGGGATGGTTGCGAGGATGTTCCCGCATCGCCGTTCCGCAATGTTTGGAGTCCTTGCTCCAGGCTGGTGAGTCGCTGAAGAAGTTGTGCGAGAACTTCGGTGCCGATCGTCGTCGTGTTTTCGCTTGTCGCAGCCGGGTTGGGTTGCGCTTCAGCCGTTAGATTGGTCTGACCACCAGATCCTCCGGCCATCTTCACTCGTGAGCGTGTGCCGGACGCCACTTTCCGAATGTCGCAATTTTCGGGAGTGGCAGTGCGAAGGATTCCTGAGCCGCTCTCATACCATGCTGAGATCAGAAGTTGATCGTAGCCCAGGATCTACCCAGGAAGGTTCGCACGTAGTGAGATAGTTTGGTGGGCCCTTGACCTCAATAGCAGAGTGAATGTAAAATGCTTTGAGATGAATAGAACATGCAAATACAACGATATAAATATGAGTACAGGGGAATACGAAGCGACCTGGCTAGCCATGTACTCTAAGGGGTACATTCCCTTATTCGAATTCAAACCAACCGTGCGGCCCGAGCAGTTACGAAACTGTTCCCGCCAGATTCATCGTCCCTGCAGCTGCCCGATGCCGTTTTTCTCCGACGGTCTAGATCCACCCTAACCGTCTGACGCTTCGAGTCAACTCTGACTCCTCGCATTCGTTCTCGATACTGCATGCCTCTTTGCTGCGGTGAGGAGTGCACAGTAATATCAAGTATTACTATTCGTAACACCCTGATTCCCCGCGGAAGTTTCCGGCCTTACCCGGAAAATTTCACAGCCCTTCCTACCCCCCCCCCCCCCCCCCCCCCCCCCCCCCCCCCCCCCCCCCCCACCCCCTCCCTTCTCGTTTTTCCCTTTCCATCCCATCCCATCCCATCCTATCCCATCCTACCGTGAAAATGCTAGATTACGACGTGGGCTGGGCAGGTGTGTACCAGATCTTCGACGGGGAGAAGCGCCGCAAGCCTGCCACTTAGTTATTAGTGTTGAGAAAGTAGGTAGGTAGATTGCAGTTCTAAATTAACTCTGCCTTTATTAGTTTTCGTTGTATAGAGTTTGCCCTGATTGTTGTAGTGTAGCCCTGAATTTAAGTTTTTGGTTGGGTGCTTTCCCGGACGCTTAAAGGCTCGGAAAAGGACACTTCCCGGAGATTTCAGGGCTGAAATACGGGCACCTCAGACTCTCAAGTGTTGGCCTGGAACCAATCGACAGCCCTGTCTCATATCTTGCCCCAATTTTGCGATCGGTGTGCCCGATCGGTTTTTGACGGCGATCTCGCGATCGATCAAGGGCGAGGATGCGCCCTTAGTGTACGGTATGTCTCAATAATTTACAACCCTTTTAGCAGAACCATTCACCAGCTTTAACAGTTCTGGTCCATATTATACAACAAACACATTGACAAAATTATCCACCTCTATTTCCCTTTCTTGGTCAGCTTACTCAGCTTCACAATAGCAGGATCATGCACGTGTTTAGTACCCATACTCACCACCAGCTTGTACAGATCCGGCTCCGGGCGGTTGAAATTTAAATAGTAAAACCCGTCGTCGATCCGCCGAGGCCCCACATCTTTTCTCGGGCAGCTCTTGAAACCATTGATGCTGGTGAAGAGAGACGAGCCTGCATTCACTCCCAGGTCATCATTCGCGTAATCCACAAACCTTGCCCCGGAAATGTCGGTGAGATTCACCTTCCTCTGATCATTCAACGGGCCTGCCTCGACAGTAGGCAAGTTTTCGCAGTACTTGTAACCAAGATCTCTCCCTTCAGTCTCCACCAGGACCAAATTGAGGTAATTCTCTGTAGGGAGGCCGCTACATGCCCCTGTTTTCTCAGCGGAAAGTGTCCCTTTTTGTTTGGTGTTGCATGCCTTGCCATCGACGGTCTTCTGCCCGCAAACGTCAGGCCAGAAAGGGTATTTCTGAAGGAGGGGCAGACAGCAAAAAAGATTTGAGAGGAGGTGAGTACAAAATAGGCAAAAGAAGGGTGACTCACATTTTACATGCTTAGTTATAGCACGACAAATGATGTGAGCATCTATCGTTGTAAAAACAACAAATGCCACTGCAAGAGCTGGGTTTAGCTCTCACGAAACTGAAAGGCCGCCTGTTGCTCCCCTCTTAAACGACTAGAACGTCATTTCCACTGCTTGCATGTCATCCCCCAGCATGTGCCTCTTGGTGACATCAACACTGACTCACATTCTCAGGTGCTTCTCAGGGGTTTCCTCCGGTGCTTCTCAGGAGTTTCCTCTGGTGATTCTCGCCCCTCTGAACACTGGTGTGTCGTTGTGCTGTTTGCACATGAGCTCCCAGTACGTGCCTCTGTGTGGCACAGATTCTCACGTGCTTCTCAGGTGCTCCTCAGGTGCTTCTCAGGTGCTCAGGTCTTACCTCTTTGAACACTGGCGTGTCATAGTACTGCTTCTGCATGAGCTCTTAGAACGTGCCTTCTAGTAATGTAGGTAAAACTCAACCTGATTACTACAGGTGTATTGTAGGTGCTCCTTACCTCTCGGAAAACTGGCGTGTCGTAGTACTGTTTCCGCATGAGCTCCCAATACGTGCCGGGGTTCTTGTTGCAGTTGAGCACAGTTGGGGTGAAACACGTGCTCCAACCTGGCGACCCCGGCACCTTCTTTATAATCACACTCTCAATAGAATTCCTGGAAGAGAAAAAGGAATAGACACATCAAAGCATGAGAGTGATTCATTTCAGACAAATCAGGCCTTCGTTGTAGTCAAATCGTCACAGGCATGCGCACTAAGTACATGGACAAGACTGATAAATGAACGTACCACTTTCCATTGTTGACCTTGATCCCGTCGTATGTGTTGATGCATGCACCCCCCTTGATAGTCACACCCGACGTGACAAAATCGAGGTAGTAGCACTGGTCTCCGTTGAAAATGTAATTGCACTCTGCTGTGTTGTCTGCGGAGGGTGTAGGTGGTCAGGAAAGGAGGATAACAGGGAGTTATATAATGAAGCGCCTCAGCAAGGTTGTGACAATGATCTCCGTTGAAAATGTAAAAACACACTGCCGTACTGTCTGCAGAGTGGATAGGAGGGCAGGGCGGATAGGAGTGTGAGGTGAGAGCCTCAGATAGGAGGTAGTAGCAGTGACATCCCTTGAACACAAACTTGCACTCCATCGTATTGTTTGAAGAGTGGATGGGATGGGAGGAAGGGCTCTAGGCTACAGAAATCAGAACTTGTCAAAACTCGTCCGAACCAGATCTTACCAGGGCTGAACCAATGCACGCAGTAGCAAATTCCTGCAGCGTCCTGGTCGCGGGACCTGTTTCGCCCCGCGACGACGACGTGTGAACATGCAGTTCGCTTCTACAGGCTTACAGGGTACCCACCTGGGCTGAACCAGTGCACGCAGTAGTAAATCCCCGCAGCGTCCTGGTCGCCGGATCTGTTTCGCCCCGCAGCGACGACGTGGTTGCGATCGATCTGCGTGAGCATGCAATCCGCGGAGAAGTGCACGTCGGAGCCGCAGCGAATTCCCGCGAAGAGAAAGTCGTGTACGTAATTGTTCCGCACGATCGCGCCGATGGTTCCGCGATGAATAACGATTGGCGTGTGCACGCCTGGGGGGAATCAAGGGGAAGGAAAAAAGGGCGGAAGGCGGAACGGGACTTAGAAATCACCCCAGGTGGTAAGGGTGGCGGGGGTGAGGAGGGGAGAGGGGGGGCGGGAAGAGGGGGAGGCGGGAAGAGGGGGGGGCGGGAAGAGGGGGGGGGGGGGGAGAGGGGGGGAAGAGAAAATCGTACAAGTAGTTGTCACTGATGAGAGCGTAAACGAAAAACAAAACACCATCTTATTCATTCACTCACCGTAAACTTCGTTGTTCGTTATAGCGATGAAGGATTTGCCGAGTGTAGGCCCGTGGCCACTGTACGTAGAACTTGAATCACGCCAGGCGACTGGTTGAACACCGGTATCCCGGTTACCCTCATGGAGTCAATTCGCGACGACATAGTCCGGTGGAGATCAATTCTTCCAAATACACTCCCCTTCGCGACTTGAATTCCGTAAGATCCGATAATAGAAATTGTTGGGCACTGTGCTTTGGAAGTTACTTCGGGTACTGTAGTGCAGGATGGCGACGACGTGCGAACGCTGAGCTTGAAATCGATCTTCAATACAAGCACGTTGCTCGTGTTCCATATACGCAGTACTGGCTCATTCGCTCCGGTATGAGTGATCACAAACGGAGTCGCTGCGGTTTTCGCCGATCGAAAAATGGTGCACGAAAACTGGCTGTCGAACAGGATCCCCTTGCTTATAACGAGGTTCTTCTGCAGCTCCAGGATGACCGTTGTAACGGAGCTGAACTTCGTTCGCTTGCTGAAATCCGCTGCAGTGGTTATGGGGATAACAGTAGCTGCTGCGTAGTCGGAGCACGGGCCATCCAAAAAGGCGTCAGCTGAAGGAAATTAGGGGTTGAAACATAAAACATTTTTCCGTTAGTTTAAGGTCGTAAATGCGAATGACAGTAAACGGATAATGTGCAGAAAATCGTGACGTTATGAGAAGTCAGTTGGGGCTGGAGTTGAGAGCGGAGATACGGGGTATTTCTTAAGATGAGTGAGTCGAGGCACTGCGAATATCGCCCCTGACAAGGGCGGAAGTGCTGACGAGCGGAGGAGCGGAAAGGCGAGCGGAGGGGCGGAAAGGCGCGCGGAGGGGCGGAAAGGCGCAAGGCGAACGGCGAAAAGGAAAAGGGGAGGGGCTTTCTTCGCGGAGGATTCAGCAGCACTCACCCATTCGCCTGCGCCCCATCTGAATATCCTCGCGCGCCACGTGTGCCAGCCGTTTTCTCGAAGCGCTCACTCCGACAGCGACGGAGGCACGGTTTGAGACAACTCCCTCCGCTGCCTCGTGTTTACCAGGCGACTCCCCTTGCGACTCCACCTGCGCCTGCGCTTGCGCCTGCGACTCCGCTTGCGACTCCCAGGTCTCATTGCCTGCCGCGAACAGAGAAGCCGACGACAGCGACGGGACTGCCGCGTCGTGCGCGACGGCGGAGTCCAGGTCAGCAGCGTCCTGACGTGGACGTGTTGATGACGGCCATTGGTCCAGAAAGCGCCAGAAGAGTCCGCGGTAGTTCGCTACGTCTGTGGAAGAAGACGCAGCGGGCGGAAAACAGCGAGGAGAAGGCGCAGATACGGCAGGAAGGAGACGCGAAGCCGGGAAGGAGGCGAGGACGAAGAAACAAAGGGAAGGGGAGAGGGGGGGGGGGGGGAGGAATAGAATGCGAAGACAGAGGATGGGGAGGGGGAGAAGCGAAGGAGAGGCGTTGGAGGAAGGAACAGGTTAGGTAGGGCCTGAACATAGAACGAATAACGAAAGCTCACAGGAAAGATGCGAGTGCGAGTGCGAGAATGAGTGCAGGTAAGAGGATGAGAGGGAACGCGAGAGTGCATGAGGGAAAATTCTTGCCGGACCGACATGGTCCACACACTGAGATATGACCAGCCTAAAAGGGAAAATAGTAGGACGCCTTGGCAACACAATCGGGGAAGAACGCCACGAGGCTGCGCACATACCTGAGGGCGTCTAGTTTTGAGGCGCCTCAAAACTGACCGACATGGACCACACACTGAGATATGACCAGACTAAAAGGGAAAATAGTAGGACGCCTTGGCAACACACTCGGGGAAGAACGCCACGAAGCTGCGCACATACCTGAGGGCGTGAAGGCGAGGGCGGGAGAGAGCGGGAGAGCGACGGAGAGACAGACGAGCAGCAGCAGAGGAACCACACGCAGCTGCGCACGGCGTGTCGCCATGGCGAAATAAGAAAAACGTCTCCTCGTGCCGTCTGCAGCGTGCCTGTAAGCCGCGTGGCTGTATGCTGCGACGACTAGTGAGTAGATCAGGAAATTTCGCGTTTCCTTGAACTAGAAACCCTAGACAATCGAGGATGGACTAAGATGTCTTAGAAGACGCGCTGGCGGGATCATTAAACACTTCTGACTGCACGTTAGGGCTCCACCGCAAGGATTCCCGCCGTGAATGCAGGAAGGACCTCCCTAGAACGCTGCAACGTAAATTTGGGCAGGTTCAGCTGATAAGCTATGCTTGTCGGGCTGTTGCCTGGGTGTGTGACTGGCTGGAGAAGAACACGGTCAGGTAAGATAGGTCAGTTTTAGAGAAGCCGAGATTTGCGATTGTTTGCGCTTGGGCAGTTCCCTGAACCCTGACCTGATCGCCCAAAGAATAGTTGATCAAATCTAGCACTGTACCAGTCTGTTCTGGCTCCATCCAACTCTCCGAACAATCAGCCAGCAAAACCAACCCCCACCGCATCGCATGATGGATGCGGCGATACTTGGCACCTTTATTTCGCCAACAGAAGTTACATCGATTGGTGTGTGCGAATAGACTTGCGACAGGATACCTCAAGAAACCACACCGTGATGGTACACCGAGGTTCTTGCGGTGAAGAGAGAAGCAGGTCAGGTGGAGCTTCAGGGGAATATGCGAACATACGACCCGCAGGTGCGCGGCTATCGCGGTGTGTTGGGGGGGAACAAAAAACAGCAGGCACGGTGGCGTCTGATTGGGCACTTTTCTTCCGCGTAATAATATGCGGCAATACGACCGTGAAACCTCTAGATGGTATAAAGGTGTATGCTTCAAGTGTAAGTTTGCAAGAGAGCATCTTAAAATCATATTCAAGAGTGGAGAGAGTACGGTACATATACGTTGCACCAGGGTACAACCACCACAGGCTCACTCTAATGAGTTGCCAATTAGATGATTAGATCCCATAGAGAGCAGCATATAGAAGCCAGCTGGTCTTGGAATGTTGTAGTTCCAGAAGTAAGAATTAAGGGATAACCTGCGCGGACCAGAGTATCTTCTCGGGCAGCTCTTAAATCTTGGTCGAAACTTGTAGAGCAACGAGCCAGTCTTCAATCCGAGATCGTTGCGGCGGAAATTCCGAAAACCAGCCCTTTTCGGGTAAGGAATGGGAATTTGCGTGAGGTTGCTTAAAATGTCGATATTATCGACTGCTAAGCAATTTTCGAAACCCATCGACTCTGTGTTGTTGCTGATGGTAACCAGGTCGATATTATTCTCCGTGGGCAGCCCGCTACAGTTGCCCGAGGTTGTAGCGTTAAGGCCAAAGTCTGGGTTGCAAATCATGCCGCCGTTCACTTCGGTCTGGGTGCAAATCTGCTGCAGATAGGGGTATGCCTGTGGGGTGAAAAGAGAAGGAGCGATCAGGTTTCATGAGAATTGGGGTGTCATATGGGTTGGATATCATGCCGCTATTCACATCGGATTGGGTGCAGATCTGCTGCAGATAGGGGTAAGCCTGTGGGGTGAAGAGGGAACGAGGGATGGGTTTCATGGGATTAGAGGATTACATGGTGGGTCACATAATGCCGCCATTCACTTCGGTCTGCATGCATATCATGCCGCCGGTCAGTATGGTAAGGGTGCATATTTGCTGCAGCTAGGGGTTACAGTGTTCATAGCAGCAGAGTGGAGACAACTAACGGTGGAGACTGTCGAGAACAGATTATAATGAACTTACAGTGTTTATAGCGGCGGAGTTGTAGTATTTAAGGCGCACAGCCTCCCAATAGGACCCCGGCTTCTTGGGACAATTAACGGTGGAGACTGTACCATAATACAATAAGCTTACAGTGTTTATAGCAGCGGAGTTGTAGTATTTGAGCCGCATCGCCTCCCAATAAGCCCCCGGCTTCTTCAGACAGTTAACAGCGGAGACTGTAAAACAACAGACTATAGCAAGACTGTAGCAAGACTGTAGCGAGACTATCACGAGCTTACAGTGTTTATAGCAGCACAGTTGTAGTATTTGAGCCGCATTGCCTCCCAATAGGACCCCGGCTTCTTGAGACAGTTAACGGTGGAGCTTACAGTGTTTATAGCAGCAGAGTTGTAGTATTTGAGCCGCATCGCCTCCCAATAGGACCCCGGCTTCTTGAGACAGTTAACGGTGGAGACTGTGGGGCAGGCGATCGAACCCGTGTTTCCAGGCACTTCCCTCACAATCACATGCTTCACAATGTTCCTGTAACGAGGGAAGGGGGGAGTCGGAGAGAGAGAGAGAGAGAGGGCCTGGAATCTTGGCATTAAAAGACTTTAAGCACTGTGGGGCATAAAAAGGGAACAGTTGCCCAGCCACCAGCCAGGGATACGCCCTAAGCACTGTGGGGCAGGCGAACGAACTGGTGGTTCCAGGCACTTCCCTCATGATCACATGCTTCACAATGTTCCTGTAACGAGGGGAGTGGAGGGGGGCACGGAAGGGCGCCTGGATTGTTTAAGAATTTATCGATGCTTCTGGCACGGAACGCTATACAGCACAACAAGACTGACCCCTGTTGCTCCTGGGACTTCCTTCATTATCACTTCCTTCATTATCACATGCTTCAGTGATCACATAGTCCCGCTGGGACTTCCTTCATGATCACATGCTTCAGTGATCACATAGTCCCGCTGGGACTTCCTTCATTATCACATGCTTCACAACGTTTTTTTCGCTGTAAGACTCTGTTACAGCGGGACTGATACAGATTCCCGCTGTTGATCGTCACGCATTGTTGTCACACATATGCACGCACCCCCATGCCCCACAACCATTTTCATCTGAGGCGCCTAGAAAAACACTAGTACAAGTGGGAAAACACACACACACACACACACACACGCACGCACGCACACACTCACACACACGCACGAAAGCACGCACGCACGCGCACGCGCGCGCGCGCACACACACAAACAGCAACAACAACAACAACAACAACAACGACAACAACAACAAAAAAACACTTACATCTTTCCGTTGTTGATCCTGACGCCTTGCTTTGCGTACATGCACGCACCCCCGTGCACCAACACACCCGATGACTGCGAGTCCAGGTCATAGCACAGCGCACCGTTCACCACGTAGTTGCAAGATGCCTGGTTGCCTGGAGGGTGGGCGGGGGGTTCAAAGGAAGTGGGGGGAAAGGGAGGATAGAGTGCCAAGCCCATGCCCTCTAGGTCATAGCACAGCGCACCGTTCACCACGTAGTTGCAAGATGCTAGGATGCTAGGGGGACGGGAGGGGAGAGAGGGAGGACTAGGACAACACCCAGAGAGCTTAGATTGGGCGTCTAGGTCGTAGCAAAGCGCGCCGTTGACCATGTAGTTGCAGGATGCAACGCTGCCTGGACTCATGGAAATCACTTTTGAGAATTCTCAAAAGTGATTTCCATGCAACGCTGCCTGGACTCCAAGTTGAAACAAAGGCAGGATGCAACGCTGCCTGGACGAAAGGCAGGCGCGGGGGAGGGAGTAGGGAGAAGGAGAATGAGAACGATACCTAGACTCTTGGAAAGAACGATACTTAGCTGGACTCCAAGTTGAAACAAAGGATTCCAAAAGCCTCCCGACGCTACATATCCACCGCTATCCAGGTGACTTTTGAGTCGACTCAAAAGTCTCCTGAACGGCTCTTCACCACGCTGCCTAGGCACGGCCAAATTAGAGAAAAGAGCTCTACCTTGGCTGATCCAGTGGGTTGAAAAAATTATTCCAATGGCTCTCACCTCCCCGCACCAGGCATGCCCTCCCAGGGCACCTGGACAACAGTGTTAGAGACATTCACGAGCATGCAGTCTCCCACAGGGATAGTGCTCGTTCGTTTCCCCTACGCCCATGCACTGCCTGCCAGTTGCTGTTCTCACCTGACTTTTGAGTCGACTCAAAAGTCACCTCGTTTCCCCAACGCCCATACACTGCCTGCCAGTTGCTGTTCTCACCTGGGTTGATCCAGTGTGCTGAGAAGACAATGCCGATGGCCTTTCTTGCACCAGGCATGGCCCCCCAGGGACAACGTTGTTCGAAACATTCACGAGCATGCACTATTTCACAGGGATAGTGTGCTGCCACCTGCTTGCTCCTACCTGGGTTGATCCAATGAGTTGAAAAGACAATCCCAATGGCCTTGCCAGCACCAGGCATGGCTCCCCAGGGCGCCTGCACGACATTATTTGACACGTTAACGAGCATGCAGTCCCCCACGAATCTCGGCCCGGCGCCGCACATGATGCCCGCGCCTGTGAACCCGTGCACGTAGTTACTCGCCACCGCCACCCCCACCGCTCCCCGGTGCAGGACTATGCCGATCCGCGCGTTGTACACCTCGTTATTCGTTATAAGCACGTTGGATTTGAGGAGGGATGGGCCGATGCCGGAGAGGGCGACGCGGATGTGGGCGGGGGAGGCGATGGAGGAGAGGGCTGGGGCTGTGATCTTGAGAGAATCGACTCGCACGTTCATGCTCCGAACCACGTCCACTCGACCGTGGACTGTGCCCTGCAGGAAAGGGAAAGCAGGTCATGGGGGAGGGAGCAGGGCGAGGGAGAGAGAAGTTGGGTTATCTTCAGAACAGGAACGGACCGATGCAGGAGGGAGGCCCCCGATGGCGGAGAGGGCCACGAGGATGTGGGCGGGGGAGGCGACGGAGGGGAGGGCCGAGGCTGTTATCTTGAGAGAATCGACCCTTACGTTCATGCTCCGAACCACGTCTACTCGACCGTAGACCGTGCCCTGCAGGAAAGGGAGAGCAGAGCAGGTATCAGGGGGAGGTAAAGGAAGGAGGGGAGGGAGCAGGGCGAGGGAGGGAGAAGTCGGGTTACCAGCACCACAGGAATGGGCCGATGCCGGATAGGGCGATGCGGATGTGGGCGGGGGAGGCAACGGAGGGGAGGGCTGGGGCTGTGATGTTGAGGGAATCAACCCTCACGTTCATGCTCCTCACCACGTCCACTCTCCCATTCACAGCGCCCTGTAGGCAGCAGAACGGGGAGAAGTTGGGTTAGCATCAGCAAAGCGGCGGGCCGATGCCGGATAGGGCGACGCGGATGTGGGCGGGGGAGGCACCGGAGGGGAGGGCTGGGGCTGTTATCTTGAAACCCGAACGAGAGAAGAGCGATGGAAGAAGAGAGGGAGGGAGGGCGGGAAGGAGGCAAGGGCGGGAGGAAGGGACGGGAGGGAACGAGTGGGGGAAACTGGAGGGGAAAAGAGAAGGGTTGGGGTTCTCACCGCTCGTGTTTTTGAGAATTCTCAAAAAACACTGAGGTGACTTTTGAGTCGACTCAAAAAACACTGAGGTGACTTTTGAGTCGACTCAAAAAACACTGAGGTGACTTTTGAGTCGACTCAAAAAACACTGAGGTGACTTTTGAGTCGACTCAAAAAACACTGAGGTGACTTTTGAGTCGACTCAAAAAACACTGAGGTGACTTTTGAGTCGACTCAAAAAACACTGAGGTGACTTTTGAGTCGACTCAAAAAACACTGAGGTGACTTTTGAGTCGACTCAAAAAACACTGAGGTGACTTTTGAGTCGACTCAAAAAACACTGGTTGGGCCTCTCACCGCTCCCACTTGCACGCCGTACGATCGGTGAATGGAAACAGCAGGACACACCGACGTCTTGTCCGCCCCTTGAAACCCCACACACGCCGTGGACCCCGCCCCCACTCCCACCTTCCAGTTCACATTCACCGCCACAACATTGCTCGCATTCTCCACCTTAAAAGCTGGCATATCGCTCCCAGGGTACTCTATCGTATACCCAGGCCACACCCCCACCGTCGACATGAGTAGCGAGCACGAAAACCCCACGCCGAAAACCAATCCCGAGGAGAGAACCAGGTTGTTTTGGAGGTACATAACAACAGTGACGTTGGGGGGGATTCGTAAGCGGAGGTTGAAGTCGGCAGGAGTGGTGATGTTGAGCAAGTAGACGGCCCGTAGGCTCGTGCAGCTTCCTTTCGGGCGCTTGGCAGAGGGCTGGCTGAAAGGGGAGGGTGTTTGGGAGGGGGGTGGTGAGGTGTCGCCGGCACTGTTGCTGTTTTGGACGGATGTGACTGGCCAGGTGAGGATGCCGGCCATGGGGTTGGTTGTGGGCGGCTGGACGGTGAATGGGAACGGGACGGGCCCTTTGAGCTTGGCCGGCAAGCGTTGTTTTGTAGCACCCCTGCTGCCTTGACCACTGTTTTGCCTGCTGCTGCTGCTTTGCCTGCTGCTGCTGTTTTGCCTGCTGCTGCTGCTTTGCCTGCTGCTGCTGTTTTGCCTGCTGCTGCTGCTTTGCCTGCTGCTGCTGTTTTGTCTGCTGCTGCTGCTGCGTTGTGGTTGCATAGGTGTGTGAGGATGGCGCTTGAACCCTCCCCCTGCAGCTGTTGCTGCTTCCTCCACCCGCCCTGCTGCTGCTCCATCCACCCTCCCTGCTGCTGCTCCATCCACCCTCCCTCCCTCTGCTCCATCCACCCTCCCTCCCTCTGCTCCCTCTGCTACACTGCCACGTGGAATGAGTGCAAATGAGACGTCCTTAGCAGCAACAGCCATATAATCTCGGTCCTGTTTAGTCACATCCTCGTTATCACCACTCTCTGTCTTAATCACATCCTCGTTATATTCACCTCCGCTCGAGCCTGTTGCATTAGCCTCATCAGCAGCAGCAGCTGCAGCAGCAACACCATCCTTTCCACCATAGCCATCCTCGTTATAAGCATCACCAGCACCGACATCTTGAGGCACCTTGAAACCCGTGAACTCAGTTGACTCGGTTGACTCAGTTGACCGTGGTTGAGGGATCAACCCCGGGTGGTCAATAGCCCCTGCCACATCCCTTGCAGCCATAGCCACCAGCTCTTCATCCGTTGACTCAGCTGACTCGGCTGACTCTGTTGACTCGGTTGACCATGGTTGAGGGGTCAGCCCCGGGTGGCCAATAGCCCCTGCCACATCCCTTCCAGCCAGCGCTGCCAGTTCTGCATCCGTAAACGCCGGACCAAATATCGGTGTGAATCCAACAGCCTGTCTTTCACTCTTTCCACTTCTTTCGCTTTTCTCTAATCCGTTTTCATTGCTCCATGCCATGCCATCAGCACCATCAGCACCATCAGGAGCACTCCCTGCATCAGAACCACCAGGTGCAAAATCAAACGCTGAGTCACCAGAACCATCGACACTGCCACCATAAGTGCTGCCCTGGCTACCTCCTCCTCTGCCGTCCAGAGGTGACTTTTGAGTCAACTCCAAAGTCGCAGAGTCGTCAGAACCATCGACACTGTCGCCATAAGTGCTGCCCTGGCTACCTCCTCCTCTGCCGTCCAAAGGCCACACTAGGTTCGGACCCGCACCTAGGCTGGGCTCGGTGCGAGCCTCGACAATGTCTCGCGCGGCCATAGCCACCATTCTAGCGCCTTCGCTTTTATCACCGGTGGTGCTGTCACTCACGTTACTACCACCACTGCTGCTGCTGCTGCTGCTGCTGCTGCTGCTGCTGCTGCTGCTGCTGCTGCTGCTGCTGCTGCTGCTGCTGTCACTCCCATAGTCGAAACCCGATGCTGCTTCAAACGCGGATGCTACTGTGGGATTATCCTCCTCCTCCCTGCCTTCCTCGCTAAATGCGCGACTGCTGCCCTGACTGCTGACACTATAATCATCATCATAATCAGCATCAGCAGTAGCAGCATCGGCATCAATTGAAGCCGCTTCAAACGCGGATGCTACTGTAGCCATGGGATTATCCTCCCTCCCATCACCACCATCATCATACCCATCAATCGCAGCAGCCTTTTGCACCATGCCACTATTTCCCCACTCCCTCATAAACCAGTCCCTGTCTTCCCCTCCCTCGCTGCTGCTACCACCACCACCACCCTGCCACGGCTGATGTTGTTACCATCGCCGTTACTCGCACTATCATCCACAGCAGCAGCAACGGCCATAGTGTCATCACCACCATCACCATCATCACCATCCCCACCCCCACCATCATCATCCCCATCAATCGCAGCGGCCTTTTGCACCATGCCACTCTTTCCCCACTCCCTCATAAACCAGTCCCTGTCTTCCCTATTGTCATCCCCACCGTTACTAGCACTATCATCCGTAGCAGCAGCAACAGCAGCACTGCCATCACCATCCCCATCCGCTTTATCCCCATCGATCGCAGCACCATCTAGCACCATCCCGCTGTGCCCCCACTCCCTCGTAAACCAGTCCCTGTCTTCCCCTTCCCTGTTGCTGCTACCACCGCCGTTACTCGCACTATCAACCACAGCAGCAGCAACTGCAACACTGCCACCACCATCACTATCACTACCACCACCATCACCACCATCACCATCACCATCCATCGCAGCACCATCTAGCTCCATACCGCTGTTCCCCCACTCCCTCGTGAACCAATCCCTGTCTTCTCTACTGACATCCCCGCCGTTATCAGTACTAGCATCCACAGCAGCAGCAGCAACACTCCCATTTGCATCACCATCACCACCATCCCCATCGGTCGCAGCCCCATCTAGCACCATACCGCTGTTCCCCCAATCCCTCGCGAACCAGTCCCTGTCTTCCCCTTCCCCGCTGCTGCTGCCACTGTTATTCGCACCACCGCTAGCAGCACCACGGCCAGTAGCACCAGCACTAGCAGCACCACCGTTAGCAGCACCAGCACCCACAGCAGCGGCAGTGGCAACGGCATCGCCATCACCGCCACCACCACGGCGCGAATCACGGCGCTGATCACTCGCGCTACCGTCACTCGAGTCATCGGGTTGCCTCTGCACTGTGCCGCCATGCCATCGCACCAACAACCCGCCTGCAAGATCCCCCTTAAACCGCCGAGGTGACTTTTGAGTCGACTCAAAAGGCACTGCGCCGCCATGCCATCGCACCAACAACCCGCCTGCAAGATCCCCCTTAAACCGCCGAGGTGACTTTTGAGTCGACTCAAAAGGCACTGCGCCGCCATGCCACCGCACCAACAACCCGCCTGCAAGATCCCCCTTAAACCGCCGCTGCCCCCCCTTCCCCTCCCGCTTCCCCCTCCCCTCCCCCTCCGCCTCCCCCTCCGCCTCCGCCTCCCCCTCCCCCTTCCGCCCTACCCCCACTGTCCCCGTGACCCTCACCAAACCCCTCTAAGGACTCCACATTAAACTCCCCGGCGCCTTCCGCGTTTCTCCGCGCACCAGCCGCGCCATCGGTGATTCTAGTCCGCTCGTTCCGCTTTTCCCCGACCCAGCTTCCTTCCCCTTCCTTTTCCCATCCACCCTCCGCTTCCCTCTGCCCCTCCGCCTCTCTCCCACCTTCCCCCTCCCCTTCCCCCTTTCCTCCCCTCCCCCTCCCCCTCCCCCTCCCCCTCCCCTCCCCCCTTACCCTCCACCTCCCCTGGCGCTACTAGCTCCGCATAGTTGTCCTGATTCCATGGCGGCACGGTCTCGTAGTCTAAGCGCGTCTCGAGGCTCCATACGTCTTTAATCTGCGAACCGTCTTTACTCTGTGCGCCACTATTTTCCGTGTCGGCTTCCCTACTACTTCTCGACTCTTTCGATTCGGACGCTTGCCACGTGTCAGATAACCAGCGTCCATGCGGGCGGGGGGTAGGGAAAAAGCTGTCGCGATTGCCACGTGTCAAGTGGCCACCAATAGCAGCGCCCGAAGGGGGCGCGAGCCGACAGCAGCACAGGCAGAAAAACGCGACAGCTAATAACGAGAAGACGCGCCGACGACGCAACGCGCGCATGATTCCTGAAATGCGCAACTGGGAGAAAGATTGTTCCGAAACGGGTACCGAGTCAGCTAGTATCGATGTAACAACCCTTGAGATAGAAAGGTGAATAAAGATATAAGATGGATACAATATGTGAAGCCGCTTCTGCTATATGGCCTTTAATGTTCATTGCCAAGTCAGTAACTTATCGACCAGCGAGAGTCATTTTCGATAAGACGATCCTATGGCTCTCAAATTCTAGCATGTAATACCGTAAACTAATGCATCAATCTCATGTGGTCCGCAAAAAAAAGAAAAGGGGAAAAAAGCTTAGCAAACATACGAAACTCAAATGTTGAGCAATAGCAAGCTAACAAACTCTTCCAGGTCAGAACACCAATAACTGGTTGAACAATAACTGGCAGACTAAGCACGAAACGCACGAGAACGAGCTTTAGGTACGGACTACTTGCGAAAGACTGACTCGGGCTCGCTAGAGAAAAGGAGCGTCTGCTCAATCAGCCAAGGCGCGGCTGAGCGGGAAGTGGCAAGAACTACTAACTTGTAGCACATGAAGATTTATGGCGCAAAGGTAACACAACTGAGCGAAAGCGAACAAAATAACTTTCAAGGTACAGTAGTTAGCCACTGCCCCGTCGCAAGAGCTTTCGCATACAGGTTCTCTTTCAGCGGAGTGAAGCTGCCTCCGTGGTTTGGCACGGTGCTAGAAGATATTTAAAGCAGGAGCAAACTATTTAGGGTGGTTGAGCATGGTTATGGGACTTTCAGCGAATTTTCGGAGATTCTCCTTACGTGTTGAGTAGGCTGAGGTACCCACCCTTGAAGCCCAACCAACCACCTCACCGAGCCGCGACCTCTGCCCGCTTCGGCGCCTCACCGAACGCAGATTGCAGCTCCCTCGTTGGCTGGGTAGGGCGCTGAATGGACGTGGTGTGCAGGCAGAGGCGGCGCGGAAGCTCGCTACAAGTTTGGTTCGGTTCGGTGGGGTTTGGGCCGCGTGAGCGGCGCTGTACCAAGAAGACCACATCTAAACATGTTACCCCTTCTGACAGCTCCGGTAACAAAATATGTCTGCGCATAGTAGGCTACCATATGAAATTGGACTGAGCAAGCTACCGTAGTATCCGAAGAGGAATTCACTGTCCATATTTCATGGTGGAATCCATGTTTGACCCAGGAATCCATAATGCGTGCATCCAGACGGAAGGCCACAAATAGCTATGTGTAAATACAGGCAGTCCTTAGATAACATACACATACGACAACTACACCTTTAATCCACCACCCATCACACCATATCCAATTATTATATTTCATGCCAAAGGGGTGTATAAAATGAATCTAGCTCCCTACAAGAAAGGACTTGCCCAACCACGAATACTCCCCATCAGCAGCCGCCATCATCTGAGCTCTAACCGTTGCAGTAATCAGATCCTGATCTATAATATGCTTATTGTCCATCTTAACAACCTTACGGAACCCCCATGGCATCGGGATGTTATAGGCCCTATAAAAGGACTTTTCTGAAAACTTCCTCGGCCCGGTGAGCCCCAGCGGGCAGCTCAAATAATTCGGCCGGAACTTCAAAATCATTGACGTATTCTTCAGCCCCAAATCGTTCCTCCTGTAATTCCGGAACCCCGCAGCGTTGGGGTACTTGAGCGTAATGTTTATCTGCGTATTTAATTTCTCCGTCACGGTGTAGTTATCGCAGTATTTCCAATCAAGGCCGTAATCGGTGGTGTTGACAGCGACAACATCGATAAGATTGTCGGTTCCCAAACCGCTGCATGCTCCGGTGACGTCAGCACCCGGCTGACCTGGTGGGTTACACGGCACGCCGCCATTGGCCGACGTCTCCTTGCACACGTCCTTCATCCAAGGCCACAGCTGGATGTGACAATAACGAGGGAGAGAACGGAGATTGAAGTCAGGAGAGGAGGAAGATGAGGGGGGAAGGATGCATCACTTGTGTCACTTCCTAATACTTCCTTGCTCTATGTGTGTGTGCTGTGTGTGCTCACTTCCTGCTTTGCTCCCACTCGCCCGGTTGATGCGATTGCTGTTGTAGTATTTCACGCGCATCGCCTCCCAGTAGTACCTTGCTGTATGGTACCTACCCAGTGTGCTTCATGCTCACTTGCTGCATTACCCTCACTCACCCGGTTGATGCGATTGCTGTTGTAATACTTAACGCGCATCGCCTCCCAGTAGTCCCCGGGGTCTTTCAAGCAGTTGTTGATGGTCACTGTAAGGCACGACGTCCATCCCAATGACCCCTGCGTGCCCTTCATCGCCACGTGCTTTATCACGTTCCTGAATGGGAGGAAAGGAGGGCACACGGTGAAAAGGGACCAGGGAAGTCATTCAAGCAGTTGCTGCTACCATGGTCGCATACAGTACCACATAGCAGGCCCCCCAATTCCACGAGCCCCATCTCCAAGCCCAGTCTTCCCTCCTCACCTCTTGCCGTTTTTCACTTTCATGCCGTCGTATGTGTAGGCTCCGCCCCTTCTAGGCCCCCCATCCCCCATGCCTGGTGGTCTATGCCCCTTGCTCTTTGCCCAATCTTCCCAAGGCGCCTCACCTCTTGCCGTTATTCACTTTCATCCCGTCGTACGTGTTGATACATGCGCCGCCCCGCACAAGCACGCCCGACGTGCAGTAATCCAGATAGTAGCAGTGATCGCCATTGAAAACATAATTGCAGAGCGCGGAATTCCCAGGGTTGAACCAGTGCGTGCAGTAGTAGATCCCCGCCGAGTCATAGTCCCCGTTCAGATTCCTCCCAGAGGAAATCACCAGGTTGGAGTTGATCTGGGTCAGCATGCAGTCACCGCTGTAATGCACGTCTGCACCGCACCGAATTCCCGCAAAAATGTAATCGTGGATGTAGTTGTTTGTGACAGTAACACCCACCGCTCCCCTGTGCAGCACAATTGGTGTGTTCACACCTGCAGGCGAGGGGAAGAGGGGGGGAAGAGGGCGAAGAAAGAAGGATGAGTACGAAGAAGGATCAGATCATCAGAGCAGTGTGTGCAGTAATAGATGCCCGCCGAGTCATAGTCCCCGTTTCAAGGCTGGAGTTGGTTCCTCCCAGAGGAAATCACAAGGTTGGAGTTGGTTCGCGTGAGCATGCAGTCTCCGCTGTAATGCACGTCCGCGCCGCACAGAATGCCGCGGTAACACCCACCGTTCCCCTGTGCAAGACAATGGGGGTGTTCACACCTGCAGGCGAGGGAAGGAAGGGAGAAGAGGGCAAAAAGAAGGGGAAGAAGGATCGGACCAGTGCGTGCAACAGTAGATCCCCGTCGAGTTCAGTCCTCATTGTTGGAAATCCACGTGGTAACAGAACCTCAGCACCCCTCACCGTACACCTCGCTGTTGGAAATCAGAATGCTGGCTTGCAGCACAACAGACCACTCGAATAACCCCAGGCAACTTCATGCCAGCTCGCTCACTTGAAGCATGTCACAACTTCAGCACACTCTAGAGCTTGATGCAAACCACCACTCACCGTATACTTCGTTATTAGAGATGACAATGTTGGCTTGCAGCAGTGAAGGCCCGTACCCACACATGGCCACTCGGATCACCCCAGGCGACTTGTCAAACGACGCCACTCCAGTGACCTTGAGTGAGTCCAGCCGTACGCCCATGCTCCTAAACACGTCCACTCGGCCAAAGATGTTGCCCTGTGGGGGAAAGAGAGCATGAGAGAAGGGAGAATGTGAGAATGGAGGACTGGTGGATGAGACACAGAGAGAAAGCCATTCCGGTGACCGTGAGTGAGTCCAGCCTGCACGTCACTCCTTTCCCTAGCTCGGGTACACTCGAGCATGTCTCGACCACAGTGGTGCATTCGGGACTGCTCTCCCCATCACCGCCGGCAGGTAAAAGCTCACCTGACATGAAAGTGAATAACTCACCTTCCCAATTTGAACCCCGTAGGACCGGTGGATTACTGTCGCAGGGCACGTCACTCCCTTCCCCAGCTCAGGCACAGTGGTGCATTCCGGACTGCTCTCCGTCACCGGAAGCTTATAATTCACGCTCAGCGACAGGAAGTTATTCGTGTTCCACACCATACACCAGGGTGGATAACTCACCTTGCCAATTTGCACGCCATAGGAGCGATGGATGGAGATCGTGGGGCACGTTACTCCCTTCCCCAGCTCAGGCACAGTCGTGCATTCAGGGCTTCTCTCTGTCACCGGCAGCCTATAATTCACGTTCAGCGACAGGAAGTTGTTCGTGTTCCACACGCGCAGCACCGGGTACATAGGGTTACCACCCATGATCGTGTAACCGGGCCACTTCGCCGACATCAGAATTGTGCACGAATGCTGCCGTCGGAAAAACAACCCCTTAGGCAGCGTCAGATCGTTCCGCAAATACAGGATAACGGTGGTGGTGGGGGGGAGCGAGGCGCGGGCAGCGAAATCAGCAGCAGAGGTCACGTTGACTATGAAGACTTTCCTGAGCGATGAGCAGGCGCCTTGCGGGCGGGTCTTAGACGGTTGGTATCCTGCAGCTGTAGCGGCTCGTTGCAGGGAGACTGGGCCAATGATCACTGTTCGCCTCCTCCTGGGTTGCCGTCCAGTTGCTCCGGCTGTAGCAGCGGCAGCTGTAGCAGCATTCGTAGCAGCAATTGTAGCAGCAGCAGAAGCAGAAGAAGCAGCAAAAGAAGCCCTTTTGAGAGGGAGGTCGAGGAGGAAGGGTTCGCCTGAAGCAGCAGCGGCAGCCACAGCGGTGAAGAGCGGTGGGGGCTGGCTGTCCCGCTCGTGCTGCTGCTGCCGCACCGCCTCAACCCGACGCAGGATGTCGCGTTCGTCGTGACTGTATCCGTCGTCGGGACTGTACTGGATGTGACTGTATCGAGAAGGAGCAGGGCTGAGAGAATTGCTGTCCAAGCTGGTTGTGTGATAGTAACGGTGGTGACCCACGCCTGCTGCGTGATGCCCCACTGATGCTGGGTGGTGCCCTGTGACTGTAACGGAAGGAGAGGGAGAGGATGAAGGGGGAGGCGGGAGGTAGGGGTGGGAGGGAGTGGATGCGGTGAGGGAGGGGGAGCGGGTTTGTGAGAAAAAGGCTGTTCCAGTGCCAGCTGTTGCCAACAGAGGCTGCACTTCCTCTTTAAGCGCCTCATAAATGTACAAATTAAATCCTGATTGAGCTTGTTTTGAGATTCCTTTCACCACGCCTTGAAGCGCGTTTCTGGCCGTGCCTTATACCGCGTATCTCGCCATGCCATAAGAAACGAAACTGATCGTGCATTACAGCGCGTGCCTCGCGATTCCATATAGCGCGTACCTCGGCATGCCTTAAAGTGCGTACCTTGCTGTGCCTCGTAGCACGCAGCTGACCATGCTTTATAGCGCGTAGTACCCCGCCATGCCTTAAAACGCGTACCTGACCATGCCGACACAGCGGCGGACGACGACAAGGCGATAACGACGGCAAAGATCCCGCAGATCGCCAAGGTGTTAGATATCGCCGTTAGCTTGCAGGTCGCAGTGCGCCCGACTTTTCTTCTTCCAGGCATTTGCGCGAGTCCCGCGAATCGACTCCTGAGTTGGGAAATGGACAATCCCGCAGATCTTCGGGGTGGCGCTGCCACCATCGATATCCCCGGACGAGTTCGGAAACTTGTTTTGAGATGTTCTCAGATACAATTTCGGAATAAATTATGGATTTTAGCAGCTCGCAGAGACAGAAACCCTAAATGGCATAAATTGGCGGAAAGTTCGCGGGATGCGACTGACTATAACAATCGTATCTCAAAAACGTTGAATGACATACAAGTTCACATCGTAGTTGTGTACGGCACGAAATCAGGCGAACTCATGGCAACGCCATGGTCATTTGTGTGATGTGGACTGCTCCTGTTACAAGTGGTTGGTCAATGTTGGTGGAAATGGCTGCTGGGTGGTGCTTGACTCGAAACGTGGCCGAGAAACGCTTGAAAAAGGTTTCTCCTCGCTTTTGGTGTTGGTGGGTGTGACGGCGGGCACTTTCGTATGGCGGTGTAGACGAAAGCTCGCAGCTGGTTCTTCGCGAGAAGGAGCGGGGAAGGGAATACTTGCGACATGTCTCGCGAAGTAGGAAGGCATCACTGAGGACCTGGGGAGGCGACGGGAAGGTAGGAACAAGGGAGCCGCGATCTGAATCACAAGCACAGACGTGTCGCGGTTACCAGGAGATCTACGCCGTCAGATCTGCGATGTGCGGCTTGGCTTGGTTCAGGGAGGGGTGTACGTGAGCCGCGCGCAGTCGGTGACCAGCGGCAGGAGTCGCACATGCGGAATTTCATCTGACCGATGCAGAAGCCGAACCCCGTTGACCCAACGAACTTCACCGACGTGGCAAGTAGCCAATGTACTTTTTCTGCCCAAACCGACAGAAACGAAAAATGGCTTGGATTCTGGCGGGGTGCATGAAGCGAGGATATTTCTCGTCCAGAAACAATCATCTGCTATGGCAAAATGATCGACAACTGCACGAGGCCAATATATTTCTTTTGGAGTAATAGCTAAAAAATTCTTACTAACGATTATCCAAACCACCAAGTACTTAGACTATTGCATGACCTTCCTAAAGAACTACTTCAAATCATCAGGCCACGTCACACCAATTGGCTCCTCAGCCAGGAATACTCAGAAGAGCCCAACATCTGCGCTTGCACTTTCTTGGGGATAAGGTCACGGTCAATAATGTGATTGGTATCCATAGCCACCACCTTCTGAAATCCTGCAGGCATCGGAACGTTGTAGTTCCAGTAGTACGAATTGGTCGAAAACCTCCGGGGACCCGTCGCTCCCTTCGGGCAGCTCAAATAATTCGGCCGCCTATTGAAAATCGGAGAACCCTTTTGAAGCCCAAGGTTGTTGCGCTTGTAGTTGATGAACTTTGCAGCATAAGGACGCACCGGGATATGATGCTCCTTATTGAGTCGCGGCACAACGGGGTATTTCTCACAGTACTTGTAATCCGGAGCCCTCCCAGAGGTGTTCACTGTGATCAGATCAATGAGGTTATCCGTGCCGTAACCGCTGCAGGCCCCTGTGACACTAGCAGGCGGTTCTCCAGGTGGGTTACAAGGCACTCCGTTAAAAGCAGATTTCTCCTTGCAAACATTTTGCATCCACGGCCACCTCTGGGGAAAGGAAAAGGAGAAAATGGTTTGGGCGAAAGCGGTTAGAGGAAAGTTAGGAGAAGGAAGGTGGTTAGAGGAAAGTTCGGGTGAAAGCAGTTAGAGAGGAAAGAGCAGGATGGACGTCCTTTGCAACTGCAGGGCATTCTGTTATACACAGAGTTTTATTCACAGGTAGTTTCCACGCACAACCACCGCAGGGGAGGACGAGGTCAGGTAGCGTAAGGGAAGGGGAAACGGTTGACTACAAGGAATGTGCTTATTGGCTATGTTCCTTGTTATGGAGTGGAATTCACAGCATTGTCCCCCCAAATATCTGTCAGAGTCCTTGAGCAGTTGTTGAGAGTGTGACTGTAATTGCTTCTTGACCGTGACTGTAAGGAATGTGCTTGCTGGACTGTGACCGTGACCGTGACTGTACAGAATGTGCTGATTTGCTTGGCTGAACTCACCGCATTGATCGCAGGTGAGTTGTAGTACTTGGCACGCATCGCCTCCCAGTAGCTGCCAGGGTCCTTGAGGCAGTTGTTGAGTGTGACTGTAAAGCATGTGGTCCAACCGGGGGATCCCTGTGTGCCCTTCATTGCCACATGCTTTATCACGTTCCTGTAACGAATGGGGAGGTACGGGGGATGGAAGACGGGTTAAAGAGCCTATGTGACAAGAAGGAATCTGTATGCCTTCAGGCATGCAGATCTCCTTGACTGATGCATGCTACTGTGCTCCTATAGTGACACTGCCATGTGACCAAGTGTCAAGCCCGGACATGAAGAGAAAATAATAACATTCAAGCAAGTTACAAGCACAGATGTGAGCAACATGACGTTTGTGATATGACCAAATGGGTATACCAATAAAAGCAATTCAATAAGCCAGTAATACAGCTTGTAAACATCTGCCTCACCTCTTGCCGTTATTCACTTTCATGCCGTCGTAGGTGTTGATACAAGCTCCGCCCCTTACAAGCACTCCAGATGCGCAATAATCCAGATAATAACAATGATCTCCGTTAAACACATAGTTGCAAAACGCTCTGTTGCCTGCATACCGATGGGTATGGACAAGGACAGGGGAAAGGGTGAGCGGATGTGTGCTGTGTGTTTGCACCAGCTTATGGCCAAATTGCCTTGTGGAACAGAAAAGCAGCTGTTTCAACATTCACTCGGGTCTTAACCTTCAACAATTATTGTAATTTTATGTATCTGTCAATGCTTCTGTGAAAGTGCATACCTGCATGCATGTGTCCTTCCTTCACCTTCCCATGTCTACTGACGTCAATGAAACTTAAAACTGTCATTTCCCTTATTCCCCCAGCCCACCCATCCCAACCCTCCCTCAATTCCACCTGCCCCCAACAAGAGCACCACGGTCTACCGCAAAACGGCAAACCCTAATTTGTTGTGTCCAGTATTAGAGCAATATTGTGAGTCTTAGATATTGACAGTTTTCTATCTTACCAGGGTTGAACCAGTGCGTGCAGTAATAAATCCCCGCCGCGTCGTGATCCCCGTTTGTGTTCCTCCCCGACGCCACCACGCGGTTCCAGTTGATCCGCGTGAGCATGCAGTCGCCGCTGTAGTGGACGTCCGCGCCGCACCGAATGCCCGCGAAAATGAAATTGTGCACGAAGTTGTTCGTAACGGTTATGCCGACGGCACCCCTGTGCAAAACGATCGGGGTGTCCACGCCTGTGCGGAAAAGAGAGGTGGGTGGGGGGGATGAGGATGTGGAGAGGGGGAGGTGATATAACACAAGAAAATACCCTTGAGTTGGGCAACGAGTTTCTCAAGTCAGATCTCGCTACTTGAAACATATGATTACACGAAGATACTGCGGAAATATGTATATTCTCAAAATGAATTGATCAAGTAAGAACTCGATTCAATAAAATAGCAAGGAGAAACGTCAATCCACTCGCTTTCAAAAGACCTCGTCTTGAGACCCGAGAAACGAGACTCAGATCGCCTTCCTGGAGTGTCCGGACACGGACAGCCCCAAAAGTGCATCTCTCTAGGTCCAACCTGGCAGCTCACCGACTCTTGTATGTGCGACTGTTGAGAAATTGCGAAACTTCTTGCCCAATCATTACTGACTGCTCGACTCCATCTACAATCTGCGATCGCATATCAGCAGGTTTGACGGCGGAGATGTTGTACTGTACTAGTTTGATCGTGTGGGGCCTTCGCACGTAGGTAGCCTCTGAACAATTGCGACGTCCAGATTCGTCTAGCCTCCACCTCATCACAAGGCCTATCCTCTTGCACGTGCCAAATGCACTTTTCGCTGTCCCCACTTCAATGTCCGGACACCCCAGGAAGGCGATCTCACCAAAGACCTCGTTGCTCGAGAGGACGATCTGGGCGCGCAGGAGGTCAGGGCCGTAGCCCGACATCGCAACGCGAATGGCGCCCGGCGACTTGTTGAAGATAGGCACTCCGGTGACCTTGAGTGAGTCCACGCGCACAACCATGCTCCTCAGCACGTCCACTCGCCCGTAGACCGTGCCCTGAGAAACAAAGGCAAGGGAGGAGATAAGCCTTTTAGAAAGGAGTCGAGTTTTGAGTCGACTCAAAAGTCACCTCGACTCAAAACTCGACTCATTACAAGGGAGGAGATAAGCCTTCTAGAAAGGAGTCGAGTTTTGAGTCGACTCAAAAGTCACCTCGACTCAAAACTCGACTCATTACAAGGGAGGAGATAAGCCTTTTTGAAAGGAGTCGAGTTTTGAGTCGACTCAAAAGTCACCTCGACTCAAAACTCGACTTATTACAAGGGAGGAGATAAGCCTTTTAGAAAGGAGTCGAGTTTTGAGTCGACTCAAAAGTCACCTCGACTCAAAACTCGACTCACTACAAGGGAGGAGATAAGCCTTTTAGAAAGGAGTCGAGTTTTGAGTCGACTAAAAAGTCACCTCGACTCAAAACTCGACTCATTACAAGGGAGGAGATAAGCCTTTTAGAAAGGGAGCGGCACATGGGATGGGTGCGGTGCGGGAGGATAGGCGAACGGGAGGGACTTGGTATGTGGGGGGGAAACGGTGGGGAGCGAGGAAAGCAGTAAGTGCCCACCGTGCGAACTGCACTCCAGAACTACCAATCAGGCGTCTCAGAATAATACTCACCATGCCGATTTGTACGCCATACGACTTGTACACCGACACAGCCGGACACGTCTCCCCCGATCCCAGCTCCGGCACGTTGGTGCATTCCGGGCTACCCTCCGTTACGGGCAGTTTGTAGTTTACATTCATCGACACGAAGTTATTCGTGTTCCACACGCGAATCACCGGATTCTTCAGATCCGTACTCGATATAGTAAACCCCGGCCACTTTTCGCTCATCAGAATCGTGCACGAGTACGGCGCGTTGAACAGAAGGCCCTTGGCCAGCGCCAGGTTGTTTTTCAGGTAGAGAACAACAGTGGCGGTGGGCGGGAGCATGGTTCGCGTGTTCAGGTGGGACACCTTCGTCACATTGATAATGTAGACTTTCTTGAGGCTAGAACACGGCCCTGGGGGTCCCTTCTTCGCTGCCGGGCCCGCAGATGCCGCCGCGTTGCCCGCTTCCGGAAGGAATAGCTTCTCGATATCTACAGGGCCTACAATCACAGCCCTTTCGTTCCCTGCGACTGTTCCTCCACCCGCCGCGGCGGCAATCGAGGCTATCCCTCCTCCTCCTCCTCCTTCGCCTGTTGCTGTTCTCTCCGCAGCCGCGACATTTGGCGCTTCCGACGTAGTTGCGAATCCAGGGCTCTCCCAAGCAGGTTTCCCGGAAGCTGCGACAGCGGCGACGGCGGCGAAAAGAGGCGGCGGCTGGTTACCAGACTGATGGAAGAGGAAGTGATTGTGATTGTAACGAGGGTCGTCGGGGTGGATGTTCGGGTCGTGATGGTGCCCCACGCCCGCTGCGTGATGACCCATCGAGGCGGGATGATTTCCTGTGACAGTAACGAAGGAACAAAGGGAGTAGAGGAAGCGATGAGACTGCAGAGGTTAAGACGCGAAGCGTGACGATTCCTCGTGACTGTAACGAAAGAATAAGGGTTCGGAGGGAGTTATTGTAGCGCGGAGATTTTCACCGAATGTCATTGAAGGTGAGTGGACCAAGAAATCACTTCAAACCTAATAGGGAAGGGGAAGCAGGTTGAGCAAAATTGACAGCGGATATGGAGGGGTCGAAGGGGAAGGAAGAGTGCGATTATAAGTAGGGGGAGTGTGATATAGAAAAAGGGAATAATAGTCGAGCCCATGCTGGCACGATGAACAAGGTGTAAAGTCTAACGAACGCGCTGAGTAGTAGACTGACTGACCTGACCATGCTGACACGACCGAGGCCGCGACGAGCAGGATACCTATATGTAACACAATGCCGCGCATTTTACCACTTCGAGCTTGCTTGCAATCTAGACCAGATGCTATTAGAACCACTCGCTTATCAATGCTGCTATGATATACTTCAAGGCGAAACCAGCTGAGCAGCCAGCCGTTCGACAAGGCTGGTCTGCACGTCCCAGGAAACGGTGCTTTTATGTCTAGAACGGGAACCTCTACTGTGAAGATTGATGGGTGTGTGCAAGCCCAGGAAGACAGTAAGAGGGGGCAAGGAGAAAGGAAGGACAAGAAAACGGGAACCTTTTTCCGCACCCTGTTGGTGCGCTGCCATTTTGCCAGTCCGCCAAGAATGGCTCCCTCCGACGTGGGGCAATTTCACCTCCACGGCATTGCTGGCAGTCGGTGGCGCGGTCCGTAAAGTTTTGCGGCGGTGCGACTGTCAGTGCCAGGCCAGCTCCGGAGGTTCGGTGAACAATCAAGCACAAAACCGAACATGCTGATTCTCGAGCACTTGAGAGCTTTCGAAGTTCTACGGCGCGTCTCGGTGCCGCTGGCTGGTTCGGTTCGGGGGGCACGTTGGCTCCACGTGCGTGTACACATATCGAACCACAATCGCAAATGGAAACCCACATTTCTAGTCCTCATATAGTTCAACATAGCTAAAGCCAACATATTTCCTTGTGGTGTACTCTCGTTACGGCTGTTGACGATGTTCGCCAACACACCTAAGTGCAAAACGATCCAGTTACCACCATCGTCCAGCCACCACCAACCACTCGATACCCTATATCCCTTCAACCATTCATTTATATGCGCAGCTGCGAATAGGCTTTCGCTCGCAAGAGCATTTGTGATAGGAGGGTGCTGCCATTTACTTGTAGCAACACTAAGGTGCTGTTCGCCAGCACCAATATAACTGAAAACGACGGGATAACAACGGGATCAGGAAGGTAGGACTCGCCTTCCTGATCCCGTCAGTTAGAGTTCGTTAACCTCCGTCAGCTTGGTCAGCCCGTGAAAAATGTGCCGAGCCTCACCAACCGTCCAAACCAATTAACAAAGTGGGCGTCTGGCGAACGCCCACTTTTGTACACCGACTTTTACGTTTCGACGGCATATGGAAGCGGGGACGAAACTTCCTCCCCAGGCAAAACACCATCCCCTTGCAATGCCATCGTCATGCTGCGTTTTTCGAAGCACAGCGGTGGCACAGCGGTGGCACCGCGGACGCATTGCTGTGCAGGGGAACCCTCGAACAAGCCTTCATTTTGACACAGGGGGGTTCGGAAAACCCTAAAGGTGTTTGTGGAGTGTGAGTTGTGTCTGGAACTGAGCGCGGGGTGGGGGGAGTTGTGTTTGAGCGGGGTGCGTTTTATTTGCGTTTTTAACCCACGTTGAGCATTTTTTGGTCAGCGGGCAGCAGGTGGGTCAGTGATGTGCAAATTTCGCGTCATTGGGGTAAGGTGGGGATGGACCTTCCCGACGCGGTTGCGAAATTTCGCCTTTTGGGCGCGCGTAGTTTCTCGGGCGGCATTTCGCCCAAACCTCGGAGGAGGGTTCCACCCCCGTTTCCATATGCGGTCACGACGCTGATGCCGTCGTTTTCAATTTAAAAAACGATGTGCTGGCGAACAGCACCTGAAAATAGCTTCGAAGATAGTTACGGCTTGTTCGAACGAACAATTCTATTGTGTCGCAGTAGCGCCTCAGCTTGGCTACCTGCGAAACGTTGAGACGTTCACGCATTCGGTAGCCCTACGAGTGTAGTTTTTTGTCACACCCTCTCCTTTCTCTTTGTTATCCGCAGGCTAGTCTCATCACTAGAGCATTGCCAATTGAGATACCAGCGCCAGAGACGGTCAGAGTCTTTTGCGGTTTAACCTTGCCCTTATGACGGATTTGGTAACCAGAGCTCCGTGCAAGATGGGCATTCTTCGCTCGTTCGCCGCCACACCCCTCGCCATGTCGTTACTACTAGTTGTGCTAGTAGCGCAGTTATTTCCCGTTAGGGTTGCTACCGGTTACACTCACACTCCTTTCCACCGCCACCATCGCAACGGCGGCCAAGTCGGCTTCAACCGTATAGCGGAAGCCCGCGCCGCGGGTGACGTGGAGGACACGTGGGACGTCCTCGCCGGAACGCCGCTGCCGCCAGGAATCGGTCGGCTCCACAAAGAAAGGAGAGCCTTTGCAGCGGAGGAGGGGGAAGAAGAGGGGGAATATGAGTGGGGAGCGGAGAGGGAAGACGAAGGGGAAGACGAGGCGAGAGTGGAGGGGGAAGAGGAGGAGAAAGAGGAGGGGGGACAAGGGAGCGCTGCTTCTCCGGCCGTGGAAAGGAATTTAGTGAGAGCGCAGTTGAGTGAGGATAGTGGGCAGGGGAGGGAGTGGGGCGGCTACAAACGCGTACACCGACAGGTTGGGAGGTGGCGAACCGGCAAATCATTGAACAGTAACTTGATGAAAGCTGGTAGGAGCGAGGTCACTATAGCCGGTACTTCTTCGTTACAGCCACACTCAGTAAGAGCCGACGTAGCAGCAGCAGCTGAAGTCACAGACGCAGGAGCAGCAGGGGTCAGATACGCATCTGCGTCCACGTCAGCCTCGCTTATGTCGACGTCAGCGCCAGCCAATTCCACGTCAGCACCACCTGCGACCCAGGGTCCATGCTCTCCGGTGGCGACAGCTGTCCGAATCGCAGTGACAAAGCCAGCGGATATTCAGGGGCGAGTGAAGCACGACCCTACGCAAACGGTCGTGCTGACGTTGCAAAACAGCATGGTGCTTGGCAAAGGGATTCTCTTTGATAAGCGTTTCTCCTGCACGATCTTCCAATCCGCGAAGTTCGGCGCTTACACAGTCTCATATCCAGGCGACAACCAGCCTGCGATTAGGGTCTACAACACCAGCAATGTGATTGTAATGGGAATAAACTTCGTGGTCAAGACCACAAAATTTTCTCCCACTTGCCCGGTTGAGCTGCCCGAGGTCGGAAAAGGCATCATCTGCCCGACCGTCTGGGTGTACGGGTCGTATGGCGTGCAAATCGCGAAGGGATACGTGTACGGTCGGATCGACATGTACCGGTCTATGAAGTCGCGAATTGACAGCATGAAAGTCACCGGCGTGTGGGATTTCGCGAAAAGCAACGGCGTGCTGCGAGTCGGAATTAGCGGCATCGGAACGAAGCTGGTACGATCCGGAATCGCTGTATCGAATAATGAAGTATTTGGAGCGGATACACCGCTAGTGGTGTACAACGGAGCAGTGGGGGTTAAAGTTGTGCAAAATTTCGTGCATGATTATGGGTTCGCGGGGATCCGGTGCGGTGCGGATGTGAGGAATCAGGGCGACTGCATGCTGGGGTTTATCGGGTACAATTACGTGTACAGCAGACTGAGGAATATGACTGGCGCCGCGGATTCCGCGGGGATCTACTACTGCACCCATTGGTTCAATCCAGGTGGGCGAAATTATCTCGCGCTCTGGCTTTCCCTTTTCATCTTTCCCCCTACATTCTTTATTATTTTCTCAATCTCAGCTTTATTCCTGCCTGGACGTGGTGTTTTGTCCTGCTAAAGTGCAGCAGGATAGTTGCGTTGTTCAAAAGACGTTTCTCAGGTTAATTGGAGGACCTTTGCCGCTCCCAAAGCCATGTATGTTGCATTCTAACTTGTTTTTTTTTTCTCCTCCGTACTTCATTTGTATAATGTGTTATTGCAGGAAATAGGGCTGAGTGTAACTATGTGAAGGGGGGTGACCACTGTTACTATTTGGATTACAACACGTCAGGAGTGAAGGTGATAGGAGGAGTGTGTTACGACAACTGGGATGGGCTCAAAGTCAACAATGGAAAATTGTGAGTTCCTACCAGTAACAATTTTCCCACCAGTAACAACTTTACTTACCTGTAACAGCTTGGTTGACTTGCCAATGGTTTCCATTGAGTAGTGCACGATAACGGGGTTGGTGATGGGTGTACCCTTACAAACGTGGGTCTGCCTTTACATGTCAACAGCATCATCTTCATCCCCACACCACTTCGACCACCCACCCCCCGCCCTCTCCTTCTCCCCCACCCCTTCCCAACAACTTTTACAGCAGATATTTGAAGCTTACCACATCCCCTGCCTCCCCCTCCTCCCCTACCAACAACTCCTGCAGCACATATCTGAAACATGTCTTGGTGGTGAACGCTCTCAAGGCCCTCGGGTGCTGCACCTGCCTCACTCACCCCGCTGAAGCTTACCACCACCTCCCCTCCCCCTCTCTCCCTCCTCCCAACAACTCCTGCAACAACTTTCTGAAACATGTCTTGGTGGTGAACGCACCCAAGGCCCCTGGTTGGTGCACCTGCCTCACTGCGCTGAAGCTTACGACCAGCTCCCCTACTTCCCTCTCTCCCCTCCTCCCCAAAAACTCCTACAGCAACCGCCTGAAACATGTCTTGGTGGTGAATGCTCTCAAGGCCCCTGGCTGGTGCACCTGCCTCACCCCCACTGTCAACAACTGCAACAAGTTTCCTGGAAACTACTGGGAGAACATGAGGATTAAATACTACAACACACCCGTCTTCAACCAGGTACCGTAAAGTGCCACCTATAGGACCCGCCGGTAAGAGGGTCCCCGGGACTCTTGAAGGAGTGGGGGGACTCTTATTGCGGCAGGTTTTGTGAGGACCCCCCCTTTGTCGCTAATCAATATAAGACCCCCCTTTTCTATATATTGTTGTTGTTATTGTTATTGTGAGTCATCTTTTATTGGCAAAAAATCGAATTCTGACAGGCCTTTTGTGTCAGACTCGAATTCTGACACTTTGTTTGTGTCAGACTCGAATTCTGACACAGATCTGACGCGCCGCTCGCGCGAAATCTGCGCAGTAAGGCTGTTTTTCGTTACAAATATAAGACCCCCCCCCCCCCCCCCCCCCCCCCCCCCCCCCCCCCCGCGCCCAAATTAAGCCGTACACCCTAAAAAACAGAATGATAGCTGATAAATAAGTGTACCCTGGGTCTTAAAAATGTGCAACCGCCATAATGTCCACCCTAGCATTTTTTTGAGCATTTGTAGAGAGTCCCCCGGGTCCTATAGGTGGCACTTTACGGTATGCCAAAATCTCAGCTACGCTCGGCATTGAATCTAGAATCAATGGGAATCTAGAGTCAGTGGCAAAATCTCAGCTACACCTCTTTTGAAAACTCCTTAACACTTTGTGTGAATTGAGTCACCTCAACAAGGACACATGCTCTCATGGTTCTGCTCTTGTATCCTGCACATACACCCTGATGCAGGAACCTCCTGTCCCCCCACATCTTCCGAACCCCCTCTCCCTCTCATGCACACACACACACACATTCTCTCATCAATTTCTCCCTCACATTCTTTCCCCTACTGCCTGCAGCGCTGGCCCTGGTTCAAAACAGTCTGCAATCAGAGTCACATTAACGGAGTGTACTGTAACATGAAGGGAAACGTTCCCAACCCTTACCTTCCATGGGAGACTGGCAAGTGCAGCGGATTGGCCACCAACAACTACCTCGATATAATCATAGTCAACGGGAGCAACAAGCCTATGGAGTATCGTTACTGCGAACGCTCTCCCGCGATGCCGCTTCTTAACACACATCTATTTCTCAACTTCACATTACAGGCCCTGCCAAAGCTACACTTCAAGAGCTGGAGAAAAGGCGAGTTTGAAGTGACTAAAAAATCGGTGATTTACAAGCACCGGCCGAGGTTTCGTAACTGCCTGCAGGCGAGGTACGGGCCTCAGAAGGTGGATAACAGTTTCTACTTGAAGAATTTCAACATTCCAAAGCCAGTGTGGATGGATGAGCTACTGAAGATGAGAACACTTCATATACATGATTCAGTAGGATGGCCTTGACTGGTGTGTCCATTTCATAGATTCATTAACCTCATGGCAGCACAAATCCAAGCAAGCACTTATAATCCAAGTAATGCTAACTGAAGAGATGCTAAATACAGTATCAAACAAGCGAAGGCACTTATTGGGGTTAGCACTGCACAGTAACCTATGCCTACGTGCCTCCATTTATTCAGACAGAATCAATAAGTCCGATGTTGCAGGAGTAGTGGAGCTCCCGGCTCCTTCTGACTTCTTTCACATCAAGTTTCTGAATCCTGATGACAGCCTCCCATGGCTCCCTGCACTGCTAGTGCATTATTTAGGGCTCTGATAGCCTCGTAAGATGGTGGTTTTCGAATCCACAGTCAAGCAATGCGTTGCCGCTTGGGACCCTCATCCACCACGTCATCTGCTCCAATGCCTGCACCCACCCCCACCTCTCTCTTCTCCAGCTGCAGCTCCCAGCTCCGCTTTGAACCATTCGGGCCAGCAGCACCAGGGTCAGCGTTCTTTCCCTGCTTCCTTGCAGGCTCAGCCTTGCCTGCTTCGCCCAGCAAAGCCATGCAGAGGGCTTCTGCAATGAGTTCCTGGTTCAAAATCGCCTGACGATTCGCCCCAGTGCCTGCACGCGCACCAGAAGGAGCACCATTGGCAGGAGCAGAGGAAGCAGATACGCCACCAGGCCTAGTCCCAGCAGCAGCTGTGGCAGCGGCCACAGAGGTCATAGAGTTTTTGCCCTGTGGCGTTCCTTTGCCAGATGCAGACAGAACAGCTGACGTCAGCGAAGCGATGGCGGAGAGGTCCCAGCCCTTGGTAAGAACGTCAGCGGCGAGAGCATCAGGAGTTGATAGAGGCTGAGCCGCAGAACGGTGAGCTCCACCCACAGTAGAAGCAGCAGAAGCAGAAGCCGTAGAAGCAAAAGCAGTAAGGGCAGACGCTAAAGCGGGACCACCAGACGATGTAGCTGCTCCTGATCGCTGATGCACGGGTGCGAAAGCAGAGGCTGCTTCTGTGGCTGCATGTCCATCGTTAGCGCCATCCCCGCCGCCGATCACGCTGAGAGGCGGAAGAGGCTTGGCTGGCGCAAAGCCCGCAGCGCCGTTATTGGTGAACCGCTGCACGGCAGACGAAGCAAGCGCCGTTTGACTGTCGCGCGAGTCGACGTCAGCAATTGACGGGCGGGCGTCAATTGCGGTGACGGCACCGCTACCTCCGTCAGTGCAGTCGGTTGTGTTTCCAGCGCCGTTACAAGAACCGGGACGGACGGCATGTCTAGAAGACGCAGTAACCTTCTTAAACGCTTTAGACGGAGAGAACCTCAGAGAGTTGGGAGAAGGAGGACCCATGGGAGACGACGGCATCGCAGCAGGAGGTGCTGCTGAAGAAGGGTTGATACGCTTCGGCTGAGGCTGGTATATCTTCGGAACATTCTGCTGCTGCTGTGGTTGATGTTTTTGTTGCTGCTGTGGCTGCTGTTCCTGTTGCTGGAGAAGAGCTTGACGCATGGCCAGCAGAAGCACCTCCAAAGCCTCGTTCGAAGCAGCAGCGGCAGTCACAGAAGAGTCAGCAGCCTTGCCTTTATTATACGCCCCAAGCGCGTTTCCACTGCAGGCGACTGCTTTATTCGAAGCTTCTTGAACAGGAGCTGTTAGAGTTGTGGCTATTCCTATGCTTGTGTTGGTCCTCCTATTCACGCGGGAATGCTCAAGGAGAGGAGTAGGTGTTTCTGGAGGAGCGGACGGGAGAGCGCCATCGCCGTTGACGTCTTCCACAAGAATTGAGAAATGGAATCTGATGTGACCAAGAAGCTTGCCGTTTCGTTGGTGCACCGGCCAGACGGCGTCCATAGATTGACGAAGGTAGACCTGCTCCAGGTGCACCTTGCAGAATCCCATGTACTTGTCTTGGCCGTTTACCTTGTCCCAGATGTGGACGTCCATCTCCTGCAGACGGGTAAGGTAGTGAATGGAGGGAAACGAGGATACAGACATAAGGGAACAAGGAAATTGAATTATTGCGATTAATTATTGCGTAACGAAACTAAAACAATTGCCCTGAAGAGGAAGAAGGCAAACTGAATAAAACAAAGACTGTTTAGGTTTAGAAACTCACTGGAGGGTAATCTTGCTCGCGGTCAGGAAGAAGGAAATTAAATCGGTGATTCCAAACTGCTCGACCTGCTGCACCGCACTCGACGTCAGTGCGACGCTCCACTCCATTGTAGCATAGAACTGCATAAGGATCTATCTTATTCACCGTTTTGTTCTCTTTTAAACTAGCGGTTGATCCTATAGTAACTTCTAAACACTTCGCAACCATGGCGAACTTTAGCGCACCCTAGCTCGGCAAAAAGAAGGACTACAAATTACGACGTCAAACAGTCTTCCAGAAAACGGGATGATAAGACGGAAGCCACGAAAATCTGTAACCAAGCTCGAAGCAGAAACTAGACACAGGGAAGTGAAGTTCATGGGAAACCTTCAGGTGAAAGATCTGGAGGAAAGTGGAACAGCTTCTGTGGTTTGTCACTGAAGAAGGGTAGAGAGCGGTGACAAAGGGTGCTGCTGTATGGCGACAGTGGGCGCCACGGTGAATGTGAGAGGGGGAGTGTCCCACCACCCCATCCAACTCCATACCTAGCTACCCCAATAATTGCCAAAAACGGAGCAACGAGGGTTCCGTCAATTGCCATTGACGGTGTGCGTGTGGGAACAACTGGGTTTCTAACGGACGGCGAAGCTGTGTTTCTCCTGAACACGTTTCCGGCGGGATTGCCAGCACAGCATGACGGTAGGGGGATTGAGCTGACTGACGTGATGGATGGGGTTGGGGGAGCCCGTTAGCTGACGGAAAGTGAGTGTGCGTAGCAGGCGGTGCCACTTCATTGGGCGAGTCGGGCTTATTGGAGGGGCTGCCGTGGATGCCGAAATTTCGTCTGAGCATGTGTCTGCGCGTCGTTCGTGAATCGCCAGAGTGCCTAGACAAACCCCCCACGAGCTGATCAGGTTGACTGCCAGGCTTGTGGCTGATCGCGTCACATGCCAGCATATGGGCGAAGCGCTGGCTTTGGCGCGCAATGCGACGCGATTCACACTCAGAGTGTCCGATCGATACAAGCCCGTGGATAAGGGCAGATTGTCGACGTATACTTCTCAGACTATTCAGCATGTACCATAATGATGAAAAGCACTCAAGGATTTTCCAATAGAACCAACACAATTGGAGGTGTGGTAACTGGTGCACACCTTGTCTCATCAGGAACACAAGTCAAGGCATGCCCAGCAAGTTCGTCCCTTGCACTTCCTGTGCATCTAGTCTCGCTGCGCCAAGGTGCAAAAAGGTGAATTTTGATAACCGATTGTGCACTATCTGGAATCTCCCGCCGCCACGACAGATCATCTGCCAGCTTGCTTTTACACGCTGGACTTGCCTTCAGGTCCTCCCACATGATGCTTGACAAGCACCAGCAATAGACAGTCTCAAGGCTTTCCAATTTTATATCATGCTAAGTACGTAGTTTGTCGCACCAATACGTGCCCAAGGATGTAAATCACCTGCTCATAGATGTACCACCAAGTACAATAAAACATTATAAAACCTCTCATGGACCGATGTAACAGCTACTTCTTTGCTTCATCCTTGCTGTGGTGGCTGCAGAAACATTTCGTGTGAAAAGCGCTTATTTTTCGCTCTTTTGGCACTGGTCGTCTTGGTCCAGTGGCCAAAGCACCAGGCGAGCCAGCTCGTCGTGCTGGCGAGCTTGGACTTGATGAAGTGCCTAGCTTCTCATGCCAAACTGAGCGTTTTCGAGGGGAGCTTGTTTTGGGCCTGGAGGTTGGGACTTCGCCGAGAACCTGACCATGAGTCCAGTGGAGCAAGGAAGGAGGGGAGAATGGGAATGCAGTCACAAGGGTTGATAAGGCAGTAAACAGTGAGTAGGTATCTCCATCAGTCTGAGATTAGTCAATACGTTGTTCACACACCTTTGCACAAACTTGAATAGCCGCTGTTCTTGGTGGAGTAGTGCTTCCAGATGGACTGTCACACATTTCAGCCTCAGCGCCTGACAGCTCCATCGGACTGATGCGTAACATCGCCTCAGACATCAAAAGCGTGTTGGCGAGCACTGATTCACGGACCATGTTGGCTCCAACTTCTCCTGTATCAGGCTCAGTAACTAGAGTGTCAATGTGCTGTTCTTGATGGATTGGTTTAGCTGACAAGCTCCCATTGGTTGCATTCTGGGTGAAGGGCACATTTGCTGCAGGTGCTTCAAGAATGCCCTGCACCCCATCCTCCCTTGCAGTGATTTTGTCCTCCGTGGGAAAGTCAGCGACATTCCTTTGATCACTCGGACTGAATGGCAGGTATGGACGGGATAGTGATCCTGCTGGATCTGTATTGACCCGATGCAATCTTGAGTGAACAGTTCGTGCTGCAGCTCTGAAGACTGATTGTGCAAACTTAGGACTGCCATTTGGGGTAGCAATAGCTTCCTTCAGCTTCACATCAATGTAGGAAGACAAAGAGCTATCCAGAGGGACACCCTGAAGAGCACACAGAAGAAAAAAACATCAGCCCAAATTTTCTGTTCTCCCAATCCAGAATCAGAGCACACTGACTACCTTCTGGACGGCTGCGTCAAGCAGCTCCTCGATGTCAATGTCTGATGCTTGAAGTAGCATCCAAAGGCTGTTCATTGCTGATGTTTTTTCCACAATTAACTGATCTCTCAGAGCCATTTGAAATTGCATCTCTGTCATCTCCACACTCTGCAAGGAAAGAACAGAAATTGAGGGATGACTTAACATAACAAAATTACAGAAGCCATGAAAACTTACTAGGAACCTGAACTGGTTGAGGATGTGCAGAAATGAGGAATTTTCATGGTTACTGACGAATGAGTCCAGCCTTTTCTGAAGGAGCTCTCTTTCGGCTTCGTTATTGCTGATGTCCTGAAATGGCCCAGAAGTCAAAAGGCCAGCTTCTTGAATTGCTGCAGATCATTGAACACATACCTTTGCATATAGCAGTTTCAGCTCCTCATTCTCACACATGCTTTCCACGATAGCTGCTCTCTGGTGACGCAGTTCGTCCAGCTTCATAGAAATATCCTCCTCATTCTGCTTCAAAACAAAAACGCATTGTTCAATAACTCGCTTCCTCTTATCTTATAAGAGCAGGATTTAGTACCTGCAAAATAGCAATCTTTTGGTCCAATCGGCAAACTTCATCACCAGCCCTCTTCAAGCACTCGTTGAGCTCGCACATGGCTTTTTGCATATTAATGCGCTCTTGGACGTTTTCGTTCAGTTGCCTACTTATGTCGTCTAGCCATGACGTGCCAGATGGATCACCAACAGGGTTCATACTGGAAGTGGTTGCTTGCTCAGCCAACTGACCCTTCAGCATGCTTACTTCATCCTGGGTGGCAGGAACATGAGAAAATAATTCATAATTCACATTCACAAAATGACAGAGGAAACTGAACGAAAACACACCTGAAGCTTCTCAATCATTCTGAGGTAGTCGCCTGATTGTGAGTCCACAGTTCGCACATTGGTCTGAATGATATAAGCATTAGCACACTACGATGAAAAACGAAGGGCATCACAATTCAAACTCACCCTTATTCGTGTTTTGATCTCCTTTGCACGGTCAGCATACTTCAAAGTGTTGATGATGTGATGGTACTGGTCGGCGGCAGGGCAGATTGTAGCCACCATTGTAGTTCGTGAATTGCCACTGAGGCCATCTTTTAACAATCTTGTCAGCTTGCTGCACTCAAACATACATAGTCAGATTTGGAGCAGATTCTAGTGTGGCTTAAATGTCAAACTACCTGTTTCTGTAAGGAACGTAGCCAACCCCTCGCTTCTGTTGCTGGCATAGAGCATTGATGCAGTTAGAAAGTGCAAGAAGAGACTTGTTTATGTTGGCGCCATCCCTTAACTGCTGTCCCATGTTGTTTGTCTCTGAAGCTCGTTCACTGTCAAGTATGTCAAAACCAGTGCACAAGATACAACGCACAGGAAGAATGACAGCGTCCTTACCTCCCAGCCAAATCCACCAAGCAAAGCTTCGCCCCCATCACACGTTCAGCTGAGCGTGACGAGACTACTCTCTTAACATCAATTTGTAGGACAGCATGGGACCTGGAATATCCATACTTGTTTTGTGTTAATCAGGCACATCTGGTGTGCGGTGTGACAAGCAGAAATCCACACCTTGATGATGTCAAGTTGGCGTCCGTGCTCTCAGTTTTCCGCCGAAGATTCCCCTGTCTTAACAAATCCAATATCTTTCCAGCACTTTGAACCTGCGAAACTTATGATTAGGTAAAGAATAAGGCACTCATACACGTACTGCTGAAATTACCTTGATGCGTTTTAAACCAGCGACAGAAACTCCCTGACCAGGATCTTCTCTCAACTCCAAGCTTCCAGATGATTCCACCAAGAGGTCATATATGATCTGCCCGAAGTATCCAAGGCTGTAATGGATTCGCGTATTGGCGATGCAATTGCTGTGCCATGTCAACTAACCTCATTGTAAATTTCCAGGTAGGAGCATGAAATGTCAACCCTCTCTCCCGGGTTAACTTGCATGCCGTTCACGAGATTGAAAATGTCATTGAAACCTAGCACCATGAGTCCCGGATCTTCGTCATTACCAACCATTGTCCATGTCTTCCCGCTGCCACATACCCGTGTCAAGCGTGTAAAAATCATCTAAAGGAAGAACAGGAGTTTCCAGATTGCTCACCTGCCAGTTGCACCATAAGCGAAGACCTGAAATTGGGAAAACGTGTCAACACTCGACAGATTGCGATAGAGTACGGCATTTGGAACTTACTGTGGCGTTTAGACCTTCTGTAAGGCCCTGAATCATAGGCTGCACTGTGGGAGTGTATATCTCCTGCGCATTGTCATAATAATGTTTTCCCAATCTCAGGAGGTCCTCGAGGTGCAGGTTTTTAGTGGTCTCGCAACTCACCACATTGGACGAAATGCCACTAAAGGCCCTGTCAAACGAGAAGTGCTTTTCTTTTGTTCGGTGTTGAATCTTATCAAGGTATTGTTTATCCACGTCCGGATCCAGCACAACGACAGTCTGTACGCGCTCAGCAAGTTAGCAACGCGAAGAACAGGATAGACAAACATGGGAATGCAAACAGCACCTTGTCGTCCAGTACACGAACAATGTCATGCCTGCTCCTTCCTAAATCCCTATTGGATAATGGCCGCACCCTCACTACGACCTGTATTTACCAGAAAGATTGTTAAACGAAATTAAGGAGCAGCTTCTAAGAGCTGGCGCGAGGGAAACAGCTGACCTGTAACGACCTCTGTTTTGAAGCAGTAATTACAGGCCTCATTGTCGTGCTTCTGGTTGGAGAGCATCCAGCGTCAGAATGGAAGTCGCTAACTTGCAGATTCGACCTAAAATGACTGCAAGGCCTACGTGAGCAAAAGAAACACCACTACGTGATCTGTGAGTCAGGAACTCGGTACGATTCGTTATTGTGTAACAACCGAAAGCCTGTACAAACTTCTTTAGTTCATATTTATATCCTATCCCCAACCTTTGTACCTTGCCTTTTAACTGCAAAAATTTAGTAACATATTATCAAGCAAAGGCAGCTGAACGAAACAAAGATAACCTAGGCCACTAAAACTCCCTCTGGACCCACATGCTCCACTTTTCCAGGGCCATCTCCCTGGAAGTCCTCCTGCAATAGGCCAAAAAAGATGATTGGTAAGCTTGTCACAACGAAAAGATTAAACTATTTTCAGAAAAACTCACCGAATTATAGATGACTGTGATGAAAAGGGAGCAGCTTGGACATCTTGCGATCTCCTCTCCATTCTTAAGCTCCTCCTGCCCACAAATAGTCAACGATAAGCACCACAAGAAACAGCGTCAACAAACGTGGCACATGGAAGGGAGGTTGGGAGAAAGGAGGTATGTGATAGTATCAATAGTAATTAAATCAGAGAAACCCTAAGCATAGCCCTCGGATGGGAGCAGCTACGCTCTTCCAAGCACAGATAATAGCTTACGAGAGTAATCTGGAAAAGGTCGCCACAGGGACAGGAGTACGTGAACGCCCCCAACTCCTCGTTCCACTCCATGTCCTCGATCTCCACCTCGTCGTACGACATGATGGACGCAGAGAGTTGTAACGAGGGTTCGCGGACACTCGACAAGAATCGCAGCCTCAGAAGTATGACACGGTCAAAGCCGTATCGTACAGCGAATTCTAGCAAGAGGAGGTATTGATGCAGCGCAGACGTCGAAGAATACCCGGATGGACCAGACAACCCCAGTATGCGCGCAACCCTGGAGCGTCAACGACCGGTGCGTCAGGGTACCCTGAGATGCTCTAGCCCAAAAGGAGCAGTGATATTCGCATAGCAGCAGCAACCAGCGCGACTTCGTGTCTGACGAGCCCCAAAATCGGTGTGTGTGTGTGGAACACGCTGCACCAAGATGCTGGTTGCGTTGCGTGCAACAAGGGTTGCTGGAGGGGGTGGTTCAAGGGTGCATGCACACTCAAGTGCTCGGTTTAGCCGTATTTTGGTGGGGAGTTGGCGAAGCAAATTGTTTCGGCGAAACTGGTAAACTGTCGTGCACAAGGGGTTCGACATGGTTTGTAACATGCATATTAGTTAAATATCAATTTGTTGAATATTGGACCTCGTATCTCCACCTCGCCTACTTGTAACGGATCCTCAATCAAGGCCCCACCTCAAGCCAATTCCACCAGCCCCCTAAAATGCGTGGTCATTCTTAGAAGTATGACCCAACGTGGCACGCATGCTGAACACCGTCTCAGTCAAACGCGTAGCAAAATTATGCATCTCAAGCTGTTCTCGCGCTTCGGGCCGTGGCAAATAAATGGACGTCTTGTGCAGGGAAGCCTTTGCGCGAACATTCTCCTTGCTGCCACTCGCGGGTTTTTATCGGGCTCCCACTGGGCAGACGTAGCGTCATTCTTTTCAGAGCCGGGCTGATTGATCGCGTTCCGCAACGTGCTTTCTTAGTGAGGCAGTAATTTTGCACCAGTAATATTTCCGTTTCTTGCAAAAAGTGAAGCATTAGGTAGCCATGTCACCGCCGACTGGAGCTCGTCTGGCGTACGTGATTCTATACGTGGAAGACATCGACGCAGCGGTGAAGTTCTACAAGGACGTGTTCATGTTCGATGTGAGGCGCCTGGACAACAGCAGAAGGTATTCAAGCAATACCGTATCTTGTTTTCTTGCCGCCTGTTGTTGATTGTGCTGCTGAATGGTTTTTATCTGCCGTTTCCGTTTTCCTCTTTCAAAATGCATATAACATCATTCTTTGAGTCACTTCTTTTGTGTGTCAGATGGGCTGAATTGGATACTGGGTCAACAACTCTGGCGTTTACCCCGTTGGAGCAAAGGGAAACGAAGATTACCGGTGGCGTGCATGTGCCTGAGGAGCAGGAGCAGCGGCAGAACGTGGAAATCAGCATTAGTGTTTTCGACGTTCAAGATACTCATGAGGTACAGTCGCGAGAAAAAAATATCGTTTCTTTCGTTAGCTGGAATCCCTTGCTTCGCATCATAACTTCAGATATCCCAAAGTTGACTCCTGTGAAGGATTGATTGGCATTCCCCATTTTATTCTGTAATCCTTCTTACACAGAGAGCCCTGAAGGCGGGTGCAAAGGAGGTTGCCAAACCAGAGCCCAAGGAGTGGGGCCAGACTGTGGGGTATCTTCGTGATCCCTTTGGCATCACTGTTCGTCTTGGCTCACACTTATCCTCTTCATAACTGCCAACCGTTGCCGTGTAGCTGGGCCTAATCACTTTGCCAGGTCCCTGAAATATGGTAGAGGAAAGGTTGCTAATTTGTAGGCAGTGTCTAGTTTCTAACATTTTTGTCGTGTGGCGTTACAACTTGCATTCCAATTACAGCTCCACCGTAAATGAGAATGTAGCATCACTTCAAGACACCGCCAGACATACTTCAGGAACCTAGTCACAAGTGGTGGAAATAAACCATGGAAAATGGGAGATATAGTATGAGGATGTTGACAATGATGGAAACTGTTCACAAACAAATGCATTTTGGCATAAGCATATGCTGAACAACACAGGTTCATTAACAAAACTTAGGTAACAGTCAATGTTACTAAGGTAACTCCCCTGTACAAAACAAACAAGTCAGAAAGCTTCTTCCCAATCACACCCTCACCGAGCAGACATGCTCAATCCAGGCGTGAATGGTATACGGAAACAACCAGAGACAATGCAACACAACACCTTCCATCATCCTTGTTTGCAATGCAAGGTGGCCAGCACGACAGCACCAGTTCCCAAACCATCCTTGGAAAAGTTTCATGCTCGGACACCCCACACTTCCCTCCTTCCAAAAAGCTTCACGCTGTCAAGGACCTCCATGCCTTGAAGAGCTCCATGTTGTTGTGAGTTGACAAGGAATCACAAATACTGGTGGTCTATATCCCCCGGTGCAACAACCCCCTGTGCATCACTCCTTGTAAGCCGAATGCGAGGCGGCCAGCAGAGCAGCACCGATCCCCGACCCATCCTTAGACAGCTTCATACTCACAAAACCCGCCACCTCCTCCCCAAGAAGCTCCTTGAGCGTCTCGTGAATTTGTGCCCTCACGAAACGGAGTGTAATGCTCGTACATACCCCCGTCCACTGCCACCACTGTCCTCGGCACATGCCCCAAACCTGCCCCTGCCTCTGCTCCTGCTGCTCCTGCTTCTCCTCCTGCCGCTTCCCCATCAATAGCTGCTGTTTCTCCTGTGCTCGGCTGGGCCTTCCCATCGCGCCCCAGCTTCTGCAGCACACCCACAATGCCAGCAGCCACCAGGCGGGCGCCTCTCTCCCCAAAAATGCGGCTCACCTCCTGCACTGCCTGGCGCTGGGGCAGTGAGGTGTTGGGAAGCTGCAAGTGGGGGGATTGGAGGAAGTAAGAGATGGGAACAAGGGAGTGAGAGTGGATGAGTTTGCGATGTCAGCAGTAGGCCAGCGCCTCTCTCCCAGAAAATGAGGCTCATCTTCTGCACTGCCTGACGCTGGGGCAGTGAGGTGTCGGGGAGCTGCAGGTGGGAAAGAATGTGTGAACGTATTGTTGAAATGGAGCGGGAAAATGAAACGGGAGTAGCGCTAAAGTGGAATGTGAAGTTGTAACGTGAAGCAATGATATGGCAGTAGCAAGTGATGTGGAGATGGGTGCGAGTTTACACACCTCAAGAGTCTCGACCAACACAGCTCCGACTTTTGGGAGGTCCGATGAGGTATCTTCGTGAATGATTGCTACTTTGGGTGTCCTGCCAACCACAGCACAAGAAGAAAAAACGAGTGTGATTTTTGTTACCAGACGATTTTCAATTCCTGTTACAAAGCAATCTGCCAAAGATTTTTTTTTTTTACTATAGGCCAGTGCCAGTTGCGTGAGTGTTTCAGGCCAATACTTTCCCAGACGTAACTCCAGATTAGAGTTAAGCAAAGCACAGACGTGGGGTAGAGAAACTCAACAAGTAAAATCCATGATAAACAATTGGCAAGCAGAAATTATTCTTACGGAAGTGAGTTGGGCTGGAAAGTTTAGCGGGGACAGGGTGGTCACCAGTGCCAGGAGAACCACCTCCCCTCCCCCCCCTCCCCCCCGTTTTTCCCTATCCCAACCCCCCCATTCCCCCACAACCTCCCAACCCCCTTTCCCCCATTTCCTCGCCCCCCACTCCCCCCTCCCATTTACAGACATGCCAGAAAATACTTTTGAGTCGACTCAAAAATACCCCCACTCCTCCATCCCATTTACACACATGCCAGAAAATACCTTTTGAAAATTTCCCAAAGCGACTCTTCAAGAGTGTCTTACGGGAGGGAGTTGGGTTGGAGCAGCTTGGCGGGGACAGGTTCCCCAAACAGCTTCGACTTCTGGGCAATGTCAAGCAGGGCCAGACGGACCACCTCCCCCACGTACATGCCTGATATCATCTTCTCGTAACGCTGCCACACACAACAAAACAGTGTGACATAGCATTGGGGTGTGGATACAGAAGATGGTTGAAAGTGAGTTGCTGGGTTCGAAACAGGGCCAGACGCACCACCTCCTCCCCTGCGTACATGCCGGATTTCATCTTCTCGTAGCGCTGCCACGCCTGCAACAGTAATGAGTTGGTGGGGGGGATATGGATATGCCTCATGCGTAAAGCCAAATTTCCGCTATCATTCAATGCATGCTTTGATTCACCTGCTGGCCGCAGTTGGCGCTCTTGGAGTCAAGCAGGTCGTCATACTCCGTGACAGGCAGATGGCCGGACCAGAAGTTGCCCCACTCCATGTTGATCACCTGGCATGAAGGGGGAAAAAGAGGGTAAAAGGCGTCAGGCAGGACTTTCAGATGGCCGGACCAGAAGTTGCCCCACTCCATGTTGATCACCTGGCATGAAGGGGGAAAAAGAGGGTAAAAGGCGTCAGGCAGGACTTTCAGATGGCCGGACCAGAAGTTGCCCCACTCCATGTTGATCACCTGGTGGGAAACAGTCTCGGGATTAGGGGAAAGAGACATGGCAGGAGGGAGAGAGAATTTGCCAGAAGACTGGAGGAGGGCCGGTCTGCCTGACGCTGGAGTCATGCATCTCCTAGTAGCAGGTGTTGGACCCCGTACCGAGAATCACCCCAGCACCACGCATTGGACCCAGTGCCCAGGGATAAACTAGTCATGTAAACGCCCTTGCAGTCCCAATCCCAAGGCAGCTTACCATGCGCCCAGAGGCTGGCGGGGGCCCTGTCTGTCTAACGCTCATGTCATGGATTTCCTCGTAGCACGCGTTGGACCCCGTGCCTAGGATTACCCATTCAGTTAAACGCCCCACTAAACCCAAGCCCAAGGCAGCTCACCATGCGGCCAGAGGCCGGAGGAGGCCCAGTCTGCCTGACGCTGGTGTCCTGGATTTCCTCGTAACACGCGTTGGACCCCGTGCCCAGGATGACCCCCAGCATCACGTCTGACTCCACGAACCGTGCTCCTGCTAGTGTACCCACTGCATCATTCACCTACAATGGGATGGAATGGGATGAGAGGGGATGGGATGGGATGGAGTAGACAGGCAATGCCCTTTGCGGCGCCTCATACGCCCCCCAGAATCACGTCTGACTCCACGGCAATGTTCTTGGGCGTGCAATATTTATGCTGCGCAATGTTCTGTTATGCTATGTTGATGCTGCAGAACGTTCACGTTGAAAAACAACAGATAAGAAACAATCACAGTAGTTCAGACATCAGTTATTGAGAATCAATCTCACCAGCGCCGAGACTTTCATGTCTAGCTTCTGTCGTTCAAGAGCCTCCTCTAGAACCTGAACCACGTCCCTCCCTTCCTGCGCATACACCAGGGAAATTGTTCAACAAAATAGCACACTCAGAACCAAAACCCACAGTGAATATAAGTCGACAGCGAGTGTTTACAATGAAAGCAACAAAAAGGAAAAAAAAAGAAGCAAACAGAATTGCTTTTCCTTGACATTTTTGGACCGTAAAAAGACGGCTGTTGCTTAGGTAAGTAGCGAACTTCGCCTCTGAGAAACATCAATTTTCCCGCACTCACAGTTTCACTGATGTTGAACCCCTTGGTCCACTTGATCAGCCTCCCGGCGTTGATTGCCGTGTGGTCACACAGGTACGAGAAAGTGAACCCCAGCTTGCTGTGCTTGCCCTCTGCTGGCTTAAAACCTCCAACCTCTTCCCTCCTCCCATCCCCCTCCCTGACCACTTCAACTCACAGTTTCAGGGATGTTGAACCCCTTGGTCCACTTGATAAGCCGCCCAGCGTTAATAGCCGTGTGGTCGCATGGGAACGAGAATGTGAACCCCAGCTCGCGGTGCTTGCCCTCTGCTGGTTTGAACTCCTCCTCCTCCTTTGCCACAAATGCAGCCAGCCTCGACGCAATGTAGTCAAACAGAGCCTGCCAAAGCAAACAGAGAAAAAACATAATAATAAAACTCTGAAAGAAATAGCATTGTCGGTGAAAAAAGACTGAATCTAGAAATATATCACTCACCTCAATGGTGCCAGTCATGAGCTCAGGGCTGATGAAAGCGCCCTCCGAGCCCACATTTCCAAATACACCATTCTTCCAGAGGCAACTTCTAGGGCGTCTCAAAGTCTGGGCTGCAAAGTTCCATGCCGCCTCTCACAAGCACTCACCTCAGTGGTGCCAGTTATGAGCTCGGGGCTGACGGAAGCATACTCAGGGTCCACCTTGTTGACTTTTGAGTCGACTCAAAAGTCAAGCACTCACCTCAGTGGAGCAAGTCATGAGCTCGGGGCCAATGGAAGCATACTCAGAGTCCACCTTGCTGATGCCGCCATCCCTCCCCAGCAGACTAATGGGGTGTTGTTATTAGTAAACAGGTGGGCTGCGGAGGTCTGATGTCTCAAGAGACTCTCAAAACCACCGTGCTGCCTCAACTCCGTGCTGCCTCAACTCCGTGCTGCCTCAACTCCGTGCTGCCTCAACTCCGTGCTGCCTCAACTCCGTGCTGCCTCAACTCCGTGCTGCCTCAACTCCGTGCTGCCTCAACTCCGTGCTGCCTCAACTCCGTGCTGCCTCAACTCCGTGCTGCCTCAACTCCGTGCTGCCTCAACTCCGTGCTGCCTCAACTCCGTGCTGCCTCAACTCCGTGCTGCCTCAACTCCGTGCTGCCTCAACTCCGTGCTGCCTCAACTCCGTGCTGCCTCAACTCCGTGCTGCCTCAACTCCGTGCTGCCCCAACTCCGTGCTGCCCCAACTCCGTGCTGCCTCAACTCCGTGCTGCCTCAACTCCGTGCTGCCTCAACTCCGTGCTGCCTCAACTCCGTGCTGCCTCAACTCCGTGCTGCCTCAACTCCGTGCTGCCTCAACTCCGTGCTGCCTCAACTCCGTGCTGCCTCAACTCCGTGCTGCCTCAACTCCGTGCTGCCTCAACTCCGTGCTGCCTCAACTCCGTGCTGCCTCAACTCCGTGCTGCCTCAACTCCGTGCTGCCTCAACTCCGTGCTGCCTCAACTCCGTGCTGCCTCAACTCCGTGCTGCCTCAACTCCGTGCTGCCTCAACTCCGTGCTGCCTCAACTCCGTGCTGCCTCAACTCCGTGCTGCCTCAACTCCGTGCTGCCTCAACTCCGTGCTGCCTCAACTCCGTGCTGCCTCAACTCCGTGCTGCCTCAACTCCGTGCTGCCTCAACTCCGTGCTGCCTCAACTCCGTGCTGCCTCAAATCCGTGCTGCCTCAACTCCGTGCTGCCTCAACTCCGTGCTGCCTCAACTCCGTGCTGCCTCAACTCCGTGCTGCCTCAACTCCGTGCTGCCTCAACTCCGTGCTGCCTCAACTCCGTGCTGCCTCAACTCCGTGCTGCCTCAACTCCGTGCTGCCTCAACTCCGTGCTGCCTCAACTCCGTGCTGCCTCAACTCCGTGCTGCCTCAACTCCGTGCTGCCTCAACTCCGTGCTGCCTCAACTCCGTGCTGCCTCAACTCCGTGCTGCCTCAACTCCGTGCTGCCTCAACTCCGTGCTGCCTCAACTCCGTGCTGCCTCAACTCCGTGCTGCCTCAACTCCGTGCTGCCTCAACTCCGTGCTGCCTCAACTCCGTGCTGCCTCAACTCCGTGCTGCCTCAACTCCGTGCTGCCTCAACTCCGTGCTGCCTCAACTCCGTGCTGCCTCAACTCCGTGCTGCCTCAACTCCGTGCTGCCTCAACTCCGTGCTGCCTCAACTCCGTGCTGCCTCAACTCCGTGCTGCCTCAACTCCGTGCTGCCTCAACTCCGTGCTGCCTCAACTCCGTGCTGCCTCAACTCCGTGCTGCCTCAACTCCGTGCTGCCTCAACTCCGTGCTGCCTCAACTCCGTGCTGCCTCAACTCCGTGCTGCCTCAACTCCGTGCTGCCTCAACTCCGTGCTGCCTCAACTCCGTGCTGCCTCAACTCCGTGCTGCCTCAACTCCGTGCTGCCTCAACTCCGTGCTGCCTCAACTCCGTGCTGCCTCTCACAACAACTCACCTCGGTGGTGCCAGTCATAAGCTCAGGGCTGATGGATGAACCCTCAGAGTCCACCTTGCCGATTCCACCGTCCCTACCCAACAGAGGCACTCGCAACACACGGAAGTTGGTCCCGCCCAGATCCAGGGCGTAAAACACGCCCTTCTCCGACCTGCACACACAGAGGAGTGCAAATCACACAAAAAACATGATTACCCAAGAAGCGTCGTTGCCAGTAGTTTAAAGAATGCTCGCGACCTAAGTCAAGGGCGTAAAACAATATTACGCTACCACTCTTCACCGAATGTTACAGCAAAACATACGGATTCAGGATTCGCAACCAGTTACCCGCCACCATCTCCGCCTTTATGTCTGCCGCGATCTGCAGCATCCGCCCGTTATTCGTGCTCCTTTTTATATAGACTAGAGATGCACAGAGCAGGAAACGCCACGTACCCATCAGGGAGACGGTCGACGTAGGAAGGAAGCATCTTGAGCGTACTCCCTTGCGTGCTCCTGAGGCCATAGACCATCTCCGCCTTCATATCCGCCGCGATCTGCAGAAGTTTCTCCTTGCTCGTGCTGCACTCCTCCCTTAGCCGATCGATCAGCTCCTTCGTCGAAATTGCTGAAACTTCTTTCGACGAGGCGTCATCGCGGCATGTTTTTTTCTTCTGACAGCAGTAGTAGCGCCGAACGAGGTACACTCCCGCTGCCGTGCCGGCCGCAGCGGCGACAATAAGCAGAAGATTCGTGTACCTTCCCATGCTTAACAGCCGTACCGATCAACCAATACACAAATTGCAGCTCTTGACGTGTTTTTCAAGTTCAGCTCTGTAACACTGCGTTTCTAAATGAATGACGAAGGAAAGCACGACCTGACGCTGCCTACTTTGCACACGTAAGATCGGCAACTGACAACGGAGAGTGGACAACCAGACGTCAGAAAGACAGCAGAGGAGCACCAGAAGACGTTGATGGAGGGAACGTCGATGGAGGAGTAGAAGAATGGTGGATTTGAATGTGGAATTCGGCTGGTAAATCAAGTGAGTGAGTGCAGGAAGATGAGTTTCTAGAATGGAAAAAAGCACCGAGGAACAAAGATTGGAGGTTGACACTATAACGGAGAGGAAAGGCAAGAATGTGACGGCGCGAGTGTTACATTAGCGAGGCCAAGAAGCGGACCTGCCTGACTTGACCCAAGGAACCTTGGGAATTGCTCGCCTCGCATTGGTCCGACGGACTCGAGGGCTGAACTGGCACATTCAAGAATGTGGCGAATAGAAAGCTACACACGTGGCTTGCCGGGCCCCTGCAGAATATCGACGCGTGAGAATGCGTTGCCACTAGCAATAAAAATAGTCGCTTTGGAAAAATAATAGACATGCTATTATATATAACAATACACAAGGGAACACACGGGGGATAAGAATACAGCGCCAATTAAATACACAGGATTTTCTTCCTTGAAGCTGCTCTTGAATCGTTAACCCCCTTTATTCTCCTCGTTTTGCTTCTCTTCCGGATTTTTATTCCGCATTCCTCCCACAGCAGCAGCCTTGGCAGCAGCCATTCGTTTGCTCTCAGCTGTTGTGGGCCGAGCATGGTCCCGCAGGCTCATCCAGTGTTGGTACAACTGTGAAATGGAGAAAAGGGGGAGATAACGGATGGTGAGTGCATTTAAGCCTTCGGGAAATGATGCATGATATGAGAGGTGGGAAATGAACCAGCTAACATGGCACATGGCACACAGCATGTTGGCACATGGTGATGGAACATCACACATCATGCATGGCAAATGGAACATGGCAGATGGCACATGATGTAGGTATGTGGCCCAGGCAGGGTAGAGGAGAACAGAGCAGGGGAGAGCAGAGCAGGGGAGAGCAGAGCAGAGGAGAGCAGAGCAGAGGAGAGCAGAGCAGGGGAGAGCAGAGCAGGGGAGAGTAGAGAAGAGCGACCCTACAACGAGTCCCAGCTAGTAGCAAAGGCAGGAAACCCACCTGCTGATAATCCAAGGCATGCCCTTCCAGCAGCAAAGCGACTTGGTGCATGGAGGGGCGCAGGGAGGGCGTGTGGCGCAGGCACAGCAGAGCAGCAGCAGCCATGCGGTGCAGAGACAGCAGATCCACTGCTCCCTCCACTCGCGGGTCCACTAGTAGGTGCAGCTGTCCCGAGCCCAGTAGAGGGAGGGCCTGAGGAGAGGGTGGGGGAGGAGGGGGGGGGAAAGCGGGGGGTATGAGCAGCAGCCATGCGGTGCAGCAGCCATGCGGTACAGCAGCCATGCGGTGCAGCGACAGCAGATCCACTGCGCCCTGCACACGCGGGTCCACCATCAGATGCAGCCTACCGGATCCCAGCAGAGGGAGGGCGTGGGGAACGGGAAGAGACCGAGAGGGTGGGTATGAGAGGAGACCATGTGTGAGTGGGTGCTGCAGCGAGGGGAGGTCCACCGCGCCCTGCGCACACGGGTCCACTATCAGATGCAGTTGCCCTGAGCCCCGCAGTGGGAGGGCCTGAAAGAGGGTACACATCCCTCCCCACCCAACACTCACTCCTCCCGACCCCCCCTCAACCCTCCCCACCCACACTCACCCACAGCACCAGGTCCATCTCCTCCTTGATCCACTCATTCACTCCCTCTTCACCCGCCCTCACCCCCCCTCAAACCTCGTCACCCCCCATCACCCCTGCCCACCCCTCCAACTCACCCACAGCACCAGGTCCATCTCCTCCTTGCTCCGCCTCGGATCCACAGGCCTGCGACTCGTTATAAGCTCCAGCAGCAGCACTCCAAACGCGTATGTATCAGTGTGGGTGGACAACCGCCCTCTAAGAAAATACTCAGGGGCCATATACCCCACAGTGCCCTCTATAGGCGACTTAATGGATCCGTCTATAGCGGGTTTATTCGCCGCCCCAGGTATAGCCGACCCCGAGGCTTGTAAGGGGGATGCGGAGGCTGGTAAGGGGGAAGCTTGTAAGGGGGATGCGGAGGTGGGAGGGGGAGGGGAGGGGATCCATCTAGCAAGGCCGAAATCAGCAACCAGCGGTTGCCAGTCGTGGCCCACTAGAATGTTGCCTGTCTTGATGTCCCTATGCACTATGCACCCCTCCCTGCTGCTGCTGCTGCTGCTGCTGCACCTGCTGCTGCTGCTGCTGCACCTGCTGCTGCTGTTTCACCTGCTCCTGCTGCTGCTGCAACTGCTGCTGATCCTTCTACTCCCACCCCTCCCAGTCGCTGCTGCTGCTGCTGCTGCTGCTTCTTCACTGATGCTGCTGCTACAGCCGCTGTGGAGATAAGCCAGCCCTCGAGCCGCGCCGACCGCAGCCTGAATGCGCCGCTCCCAGGGCATCACATCTCTTGTCTTGGAGTGCAAGTTGCGCTCCACACTCCCGTTCCCCGCCAGCTCATACACCATAATATGCTCTCCGCCCTCCATGCAGTACCCCAGAAGCTTCACAATGTTGGGATGAGCGCTTGCCCTCTCCACTATCCGCACTTCGGTCATAAACCTCTCGTTCTCCTCTGCCTCTCGAGCCTTCCTCTCCTCTTCTCCTTCTTGTTCCTCTAGGCCATCACCCTCCTCGTTCCACTCCTCTTTCGCCTCCAAGTTTCCCTCTTTTCCTTCCTCCCCACCACCTCCTCCCCTCCTTTCCTTCTCCCTCTCCTCCTTCTCCCTTGCCTGCTTCGCCCGCTCCTTGTCCCGACTCCTCCCCTTCTTATACACCCTCTTAACCGCCACCCTCACAACCTTACTTGACCCCCCCGAACCCCTCAACCCGCCCCTACCACCGCCACCAACCGCACTGCCTCTGTCCGTATGCTCCCCGGCACTAAGCTTCAGTTTCCCCTTATAAACGTGTGCGTACCCCCCCTTGCCTATCATGTTCTCTCGGGCGAAATTCCCTGTTGCTGCTACGAGCTCTTTGAGAGGGAAGATGCGGGCAGGAGAGTGTGTGGAAGCTGGAAGGGATTGAGACGAGCGAGAGGAGGAGGATAGAGGCTGGATTTGCTTCTGCTGTGTGAGTGTATTATGGTGGGGAAATATGAGCTGAAAAAGGTGGTCTACTGACATTGGTGTGGTGATTTTTCCAGCAGGAGCAGAAGGAGCAGCGGATGCACCAGAAGCAGCAGCAGCAGCAGCGGGCGTAGAGGAAGGGATCGGCAAATCAAGGGGAGACGGCACAACAGCAGCAGCTGCAGCAGCAGCAGCAAAGGCGGCAGCAGAAGCAGCTGCTCCAGATTCCGGGGGGTTGCATGCTGCATGTTTCACAGCAGTGCCATCACTGGCTGATTCTGCTGCGTCTGTTGCTGCTTCAGCCGCTGCTGGAGTTCCTGCTGCTCCCTTTTGCTGGGTCCGCTTGGGTCTGCGCACAGCAGCTGTCTGCTTTGGCACCTGTGTGGCAGGTACTTGCATGCCAGGAGGTACGGAGAGGTTCGGGGCGGTGGCAGCAACAGCTGAGGTGGTAACAGCATCATTGAGAGTCGTTTCCCCTCCAGGTGCAGCGGTAGAAGCAGCAGCAGCTGCGGAAGCTGCAGGATTATCAGAAATCGCAGCCCCATCAGCAGTGCTGCCAGCAGCAGCGGCACTAGCAGCAGTCGCAGTAGCAGCAGCAGGGGCAGCAGCACCAACTCCAGCAGCAGGGGCAGGCAGATGCAGCGGCTGGGGCTGCTGGGGCTGGGGCAGGGTCTGAGCAGGCACGTTCTTGGGCCAGGGCCGGCGATTCAGAAGCGCAACGTGCCGATTCGCAGCCAGGAGCCCATCCATAGACCGCCTTCCCCCACCCCCATGCACACCCCCATTCATCCCTTCTGCCTGCTGCTGGGCCTGCCCTGCCGGAGCACTTGATTCCCCGAGAACAGGCATGTGGAGAGGGGCGCTTGTTTTGACGCCTGAGCCTACTGTGCTGTGGGCGTCTGACAGCGCTGACCCGGCCTGAGTGCCTGCCTGGTGTGCTGTGGACGGTATTCTAAACCAGCCGGTTAGGCCAGGGGAATCGGCAACAGCAACAGCAGCAGCAGGTGTAGCAGCAGCAGCGGTGGTAGCAGCAGTAGCTGCTGCTGCTGCTGCCGTTGCATGTTGATGCTGATGCTGATGCTGATGCGTCGGGATGAGAAGAGATTTGAGGTGGGGAAGAAATAGCAGCAGACGCTGAAGCAGCAGCAGGCGCAGCAGCAAGGGTAGTATCAGTGGCAATGGCAGCAGCAGCGGCAGCAGCAGCAGCAGCAGTGGCAGTGGGAGCATCATGACCAAAACTTCTTCCTCCCAGTTTCAGCAATCCCCTCATGCTCCACCCACCCTTGCCCTCCTCTCTCCTCCCCTCGCCTCCCACCGCTCCACCAACCACCCCTTTCTCGCGCTCTCTCTCATTTCTCTCCCCCTCATTGCCCTCCCCCCTCCCATCACACTCTCCCCTCTCATCGCACTCTCCTGATTGCCTGGGCATACTTGTATCTAATCCCCTCAGCTGCTCTATCCCTAACCCCCCCTGCTCGTGCCCTTCACCCGACTCCTGCTCCTCATACCCTTGCTGCTCCCCCTCCTCCTCCTCGTCGTCCTCCTCCTCTTCCTCTTCCTGCCATTCCGTCTGCCCTTCTTGGTGATCAGCCTCACTCCTCCACTCCCCCTCTCTATACCCCTCATCCCTTCTGTGTCCCTCCACCAACCTTGATTGCCCTCCTCTCTGTCTCTGCCTCTGCATCCTCCTGCTGTGCTCTATGTTAATATTTGCTAGATCTGATACCACCCTCACACTACCACTCACACTCCCACTCACACCCTCACTCCCCTCCCCATATCGACTCACACTCCCACTCTCATAGTAACACGCGCTGCTGCCGCTGGTAACCGCGCCACTGCTCGTAAGAAGCCTGCTACTACTGGTAACCAGGTTACCAGAATGGTACGATCCATTCAACCCCCGGGGTCCCGTTCTTGCTCGGTACGACGGGCGGATGGGAGGAGGGCGAGGGAGGGAAGAGGGGTGGTGGTGCTGGGGAGGGGTGAAGGGAGGAGTGAGGGACGAGAGGGAGGAGAGGGAGGAGGAGCAAGAGGTAAGGGTCTCTAGAGGTCTGTGCATATACGTGCTAGTGATTGTAGTGGTGGTGGTGGTTCTGCTGTCCACGCTCCTCCCATCCACACTCCTCCCATCCACACTCCTCCCATCCACACTCCTCCCATCCACACTCCTACCATCCACACTCCTCCCATCCACACTCCTCCCATCCACACTCCTCCCATCCACACTCCTCCCATCCACACTCCTCCCATCCACACTCCTCCCATCCACACTCCTCCCATCCACACTCCTCCCATCCACACTCCTCCCATCCACACTCCTCTCATCTAAACTTGCCCCTCCCCACCTGTCCCCCTCTCTGCTATGATCTCTCAAAACGCGCTCTTGCACCCGTGCCCTCACCCCTCTGCTGCTCCTGCTGCCACTGCTGCTGCTGGTCAGACTGCTGCCCTGCCTCCCAAGCGCAGTGGCAAAAGCACCAGCAGAAGCACCTGCAGCACCATCACGAGCAGCAGCAGCAGCACCTGCTGCTTCAGCTAAGAAACCTGATTTTTCACGCCTTGAACTGCATTCACTGTCTCGTCTTGACTCCCTAAGCCGCTCTTGCTGCTGCTGCTGCTGCTGCTGCAATTCTTTGTCCTCTCTTTGCGGCGCTTCAAAAACTGTGTCACTGTCTCTTCTTGACTCCCCCCTTGGCTCCCTGCCCTGCTGCTGCTGCCATTCTCCGTGTCTCCCTTCACACACAAGCACCTGTGCCCGCCTCTTTCTCCCCACGTCCATCCCCCCTCTTCTCGCTTCTACCCTCCTGTCTGTCCTCCCGTCTATCCTCCCATCTTGCCCTTCATCTAAGCTTCTCTCCTCAACCACCACGTCTTCCTCTCCTCTCCTCTCGTCCCTCCGCATGTCCCTCTGCTGCTCCAACTCCCTCCCAGCACTCCCGCAACTGCTCCAGCTCGATCCTTCATCTTCCTCCTCCTCCCCCTCCTCCTCCCCCTCTCCCTCCTCGTCCTCCTCCTCCCCTTCCCTCTGCTCCTCCTCCCCTTCCCTCTGCTCCCCCTCCCCTCCCTCTACCTCCTCACAGCCCCCCCCCTCCTCCACCCTTCTCCCCACTCGTTCTCCCCGTTCTTCTTCCTCCTCCTCACAGCCCTCCCCATCATCCTCATCCTCCTCCTCCTCTTCCTCTTCTTCCTCCTCCTCCTCCTCCTCCTCCTCCTCCTTCACCCCGTGCAGACTACTCCTGTAGCTCTGAACGCTCGACCCATCGTCAGCACCACCCACCCTCCACCCCGCCACTGACCCCACCCCTTTAACACGAACCTCCCCTTCTCCATCCCTTTCCACCCCTCTCAAACTGCTACTACTCCTCTGAATGCTTCCACCATCCCGTGCTGGCTTCACAGACCCTTCCCCATCCCCTTCCACCGCTCTCAAACTGCTACTACTCCTCTGTGCGCTACCAGCATCCCGTGCTGGCTTCACAGACCAAGAGGAGGCGGAGGGAGGGTGGGAGGGAGTAGCAGAGGAGCCGGAGGAATGGGAGGAGCGAGTGTGCAGGACAGACGGGGAGGAGGAGAGCGAAGACGACGGCGTGATCTGCTGGTGATAGTAGTGAGTAACGGGTGTATACGCACCAGCAGCAGCACCACCAGCACCACCAGCAGCACCAGCAGCACCAGCAGCACCAGCAGCACCAGCAGCACCAGCACTAGCAGCAGCTGCACCAGCAGCAGCAATCTTGGCTGTAGTTACCTTGTATGTAGCACTTCTGGCTGGGAAACTCTTGGCTGTAGCAGGCTGCATTGTCGAAACCCTAGCAGCCAAGCGTTGTTCCATTGCCACCGCCTCACCTGTAGCTGCTGCGCTTGTGCCTGAGCATGCGTTACCAATTGCATCTGGGTTACCACATGCAACTGTTACAGCTTCAGGGTTGTCATACTCATTATCATCATCATCATAATCATCCCCACCTACAGCCGCAGAAGTAACAGCGGCAGCAGTAACAGCAGCAGCAGTGAGCTCGGAAGAGGGAGGGTAGGCCACCGGAACAGCAGAGGAGGATTGAGACGAAGAGGAGGAGCCCGAGGGAGACGGGGGAGGAGAGGGACGAGGAGAAGCAGAATGCAACGCAGCCGCGTCCACATCACCTCCCCCGCCATCGTCAATTTGAGCATCTTCTTGCACTTGCAAACGCTCCCAATCGCGTGCCGCCGAGGCCCGCCCCCTCTGGGTCAACTCACGAGATTCCCATTCAGGGGCTGAAGGTTGGGGTGCACACTGCCTGCGGACCCGGTTGCTTCGGAGAGTTGCTGGGCCTGCGGCTGAGCCTGAGCCTGGGGCTGGGGCTGAGGCTGAGGCTGAGGCTGAGGCTGAGGCTGAGGCTGAGGCTGAGGCTGAGGCTGAGGCTGAGGCTGAGGCTGAGGCTGAGGCTGGGGCTGGGGCTGAGGCTGGGCCTGAGACTGTGCCAGGGCCTGGGCCTACCCTGACTGCTGCTGCAGCAGCGGCCGCTGCAGTGGCAACAGCACTGCTGACTGAGGCCCGCCCTGCTGCTGGTGGTCGTGCTGCTGGTGCTGATGCGGCTGACGGTGCCGCCCCAACTGCTGCTGCTGCAGCTGCAGCTGCTGCTGCTGATGATGATGCAGTGTGTAGAGCAGTGGGCCATGCGGGGCCCAGATGAAGACCCTGCTGCTCCCCTGCTGAAGAACGAGGGACAGCAGCATCAGCAGGATAGGCGGATAGAGCTCTTGAACCCACTGCAACAGCGGCAGCACGAGCAGCAGCAGCAGCAGCAGCAGCAGAAGCAGAAGCAGCAGCATTCACGCCTGTAGCACCTGCACTTCCACCCCCACCACTACCAGCAGCCTCCAGAGCAGCAGCACCACCGCTGCCAGCAGCACTGGCACCCCCCCCAGCACCTAGCGTGCGGGCGCGGGTGGCGTTAGGCCGGTGCCGGCCGCGAATGGGGTGATTGGGGTAGCGAAAGTCGACGTTGCCTGACTGCAGCACGACTCGCGAGGAGGAGGGATCCACCACCAGCACCACACAGCCTAGAGGAGGGCGCCGGGCACAGTAGCTTGCAACGGTCCCACCAGAGTGCCTGTTGGGGGCAAAGGGGGTTGGAATGGGAAAGGACATGACGTTGAGACCCGACTGCAGCACGACTCGCGAGGAGGAGGGATCTACCACCAGTACCACACAGCCCAGTTGACTTTTGAGTCGACTCAAAAGTCAACTCACTCGCGAGGAGGAGGGATCTACCACCAGTACCACACAGCCCAGGAGGGAGCGCCGGGCGCAGTAGCTCACCGTGCTGCTGCTGCCTGAGTGCCTGAGGTTGTTGGCGGGTGCGAGAATCCTCAAAAGATAAGTACATAGTGCTTGTCTGTAGTGATTCTGTACTACTAACAAAGAAATAAATTTCACCTTGACATGCCGACTTGCACCCCATTAACGTCAAAAGACAATCGCATTGCGAATGTCTGAAGTGATTCTGTACCAACAAACAATATCTCACCTTGATTTGCTGACTTGCACCCCACCAACCACACTTATGCCCCCAATCCCTGCTGCTGCTGCGCCTGCTGCTGCAGCCTCCCCTCTCTGCCTCTCCTCCCGTGCGCCCTCCCCTTCCCCCTGCGCGTTCTCCTTGCCCCTGCCCTTGCGCCCCTGCCCCCCCAGCAGCAGCGTGGTTGCAGACAGCCCAGCGGCCTCTTTCAGGAGCGTGTGTGGCACTGACTTGCCTCGCACTATACGCACCTCCACCTCCATCTGACGGGAAAGTGAGGAGGAGAAGCAGGGGTACAAAGGGGCGTGAGAAAGCATATTGACCTGTTTCAAGAGCGTGTGCGGCACTGACTTGCCTCGCACTACACGCACTTCCACCTCCATCTGAAGGTAGGAAAGCGGGAAGGAGGGGAAGCAAGAGAAGGGGGGAGAGGGGGGGGGGAGAGGGAGGGGAGCCTCTTTCAAGAGCGTGTGTGGCACTGCCTTGCCTCGCACTATATGCACCTCCACCTCCATCTAAAATGTAGCAAGGAAGGGGAAGGGATGGAGGGGAACGGGAGGGGAGGACGGGGTGTGGGGCAGGCAGGAGGAAAGAAGGAAGCATGGACCTCATGAGACCCCATGAGACCTCATGCGACCTCATGCGACCTCATGCCACCTCATGCGACCTCATGCGACCTCATGTCACCTCATGCGACCTCATGCGACCTCACACGACCTCATGCGACCTCATGTGACATGTGACATGTGAAGGAATGACTCAGTGTGCACTTAGCTGCAAAATGCACTCACCCCAGCGGCTCTGCAGTGCCGCCTGTGTGGCTTGAGCAGGCGAGCGACCTCGTGTGACATGTGACGTCTGAAGAAAGGAAGGGGGGACTCACTCCAGAGGCTCTACAGTGCTGCCTGCCTGTGCAGGCTTTTGACGGACTGACTCACCCCGGCTGCTCTGCAGTGCCGCCTGTGGGGCTTGAGCAGGCGAGCGACCTCATGCGTGTGACATGTGCAGGTTGTAGTACCCCCCCCACCACGCCCTTTCCAAATGTAAAGGACTCACCGCAGCGGCTCTGCAGTGTCGCCTGTGCGGTTTGAGCAGGCGAGCGACCTCGTGAGACATGTGCAGGTTGTAGCCTCCCCACCACGCGCGCTCCCGGCTCTTCACCTCGCGCTTGTCGCTGCGGCCTGAGAGAGAGGGGGGCATTCAAGGAAAAAAGGGCAAGGGAGCGTCGCGTCGTTTGTTGGTGCCACGTGGTGCAACGTGGTGCCACGAGGTGCCACCACATGCGCGCATTGTAAGGGCGTCAACGCAAGTCAAACCAACTCACTCACCCGGGCCCGACTGAACGAGGGGAGTGACAGTGGCGACGTGCACTAGAACCAGCTTGCCGCCTTGCTTCACCATATTCTCATCCACTGCCCGCTACCACCGTCCTCCCCCCCCCCCCCCCATGTCTCCCCGTACCGTTTCCCCCCACCGCCTTCCCCCTACCGCCTTCCCCCACCGCCTTCCCCCACCGCCTTCCCCCACCGTCTCCACCCCCCCAGAGCGTCTTTGGAAGGCCCTCACACTGAGTCACTCACCTAGACCGGACTGAACCGGAAGGGTGCTACTCACTCACCCGGGCCCGACTGAACGAGGGGAGTGACGGTGGCGACGTGTACCAGCACCAGCTTGCCGCCTCGCTTCACCATATTCTCAATCGCGAAATCCACGATCTTCTGACCGCTCTCATTCACATCTACACCCACCACCACCACTCCCCCGACTCTCTGCCTTATCTTCTCCCTTTCCTCCGCCGCTTTCGCCGCTTCCTTCGCGAGCCGCTCTTCGTACCGCCGTTGCTTCGCCTTGCGGAGCGTACGTACGTCCGGGTCGAGGTTCGGGTCGTCATCGGAGATGTAATCGTCGATGTAATAGTCGTACTTGTCGTTGTGTATGGGAGCGACGGAGAAACACGAAACCATGGCTCTCGGCGTTACAACTGGACTTGCTGCCACAAACGAGGTCTCTATTAACGAGTACAGACTTTAATTTACATCAGGCAAGTCGAAATGGTGACAGTCAGCGCGATAGTAGTGGTTGAAGAATAAAATATCAAAGCGCGATATCATAGCTGGATGCTGCAGATGGGCCTTAATATTTCGAGTCAATCACTACAGGAGAAATTAGTAATAATATTTCAGACTACTGAAGCTATCGAGAAAGGACGGCATTGTGGTGTCTTACGTCGACGGGAATAAAAATTTTTACAGTTGTTGCTAGGAGCCAACCTAAGCCGGCCTTGTCTAGACCGGAACCACTTCAAACGCTTCTAGCCTACGAACAAACTCACAACTAGCCAAAGGCAGGGTCTTCCCTTCAACGACAAAAATGGGACCTTGCCTGCCTGTGTCAGCCATGGAATACAGCCTGTGTCTTCAGCCACCTGACCCCGTTCAGATGTACGCTGCGTGACGTGTTCGGGAGGACCAACGAAAAAGCTCAAAATTAGGGTTTCTGCTTTCATCCGCAACTGCTGTGCAGGCTGGCAACCGAGCGAGCGGGCGAACAGGCAAAGAGCGAACAGGGAACGGAACGGACAGACGGATGATCTGTAACGCGTACTGTTCGTAGTGGGGAGCTGCTTGCTGCTCCGTTCGTACGATCGCATGATGCTCACACTTCGCGGGGGGTGCCGTTCCATCCACCAATCAGGGCTTCAGTTTGCCAGTGACAGGAGACTGTGGGAGAACCAAGGACGCGTCCCCTCCCACGATCAATCGTGCAATATCGACCGCACTGAAACCCCGCTTGTTCCAATTACCTACTTGCAAAACTCTCTCTAACCCCTTCGATCCTGCGCAGGATCGAAAGGGTTCCGGTAGTTTTGAATGTCGCAAGCAGGACTTCAGTGCAGTGGAGGTTCGATTTTGCAAGGTCGATCGCAGGTTCGGAGGTGAGAAGCCGCGTCGAAAAAATGTCAGGAATGGGATTCGAACCCATGCCCTTTCGGACCAGTACCTGAAACTGGCGCCTTAGACCAACTCGGCCATCCTGACATAGTGATAGCCAATCAAATATTATTATGTCCCTGTTTTTGAAAAACCTACTGCTCAAATGAAATACACCAAGTAGTACCCACAATGTGAATGGGTACCATGCGTTTCGGCAAAAAAAAAAAACTGGCTGGAGTGCCATCTTGCCTGATACTGACAGTAAATCGCTGTTGAGCAATTGCTAGAGAGCAGATGTTACTGTACAGGTGCTATTCCTCTTCAGAGTCCGAGGTTGCGCCGACACCAGCAGGCAGCAGATTTAAAAACGGGAGCACGAGCAGAGAGGAGAAGTTGCAGATGGCGATGAGGGTGGGCAGGTTGGTGAAATCCGTGCTCGTCACTCCCAGCCAGTTGGTCAGCCCAGCGCCCATCACCCCCCCAAACACGCTTGCCCCATTGCTGACAGACATGAGTGTCGCAAAGAGAGTTGCTTCAATGCCGGGTGGGCAGACTCGAGCTGCTAGCACCAACACTGGCATGAAGGAAATCTGTGGGGATAGGGGAAAGAATGGAAATCAGGGAACTAGGAAAGGATTTGTCAGCCTAGCGCCCATTACCCCCCAAACACGCTCGCCCCATTGCGGACAGACATGAGCGTGGAAAAGAGAGTTGCTTCGATGCCAGGGTGCAGACTCGAGCTGCTAACACCAGCACTGGCATGAAGGAAATGTGGAAGGCGGAAAGAGGTCGGTGAACGTGTGGGCGGCGTTACCTGCCCCGACACAGAGAGGATGAGGAAACAGACACTGCAGCTATCACCTGCTTCAGCTATTACCCGACCCTTCTCTCACCTGTCCCATGTCTCACCTGCCCCAGGTCTCACCTGCCCCAGCACAGTGAGTATGAGAGAGTCCCCCAGCAGAAAGTACTGGTCGCTGATCCCCAGAGAGCGGTTGAGACCGGTGACAAGGAGTAGCTGAGACGAGGGGGCATACGTGGGTGAGGAGAGGTATGGGTGTAGTGTAGAAGGAGAAGAATCGGTGGGGGAGAGGAATGAGAGTGAGGCCAAGAGAAATGAGGGGGCGTGTGTTGGGAGGTGCGAGCGAAAGGGGTTCAAGGGCAACAGCGAGTGAGGCGAGGGCATGTACTGCAGCGCAGCATGCATGCAACACCCATTATCCAGCACCAGCAACTTTGGTACAGAGCGAGCAACAGCTTACTGAGAGGCAAGTGGAATCCGAAGTGCCAGTACCAAAGAGCTGTACCTACCTGAGATAGGACAACTGATCCCCATCGTACCTGTGTGGAGCCTAGAATGGCCCCAGCAATGTTGGTCCAGAGGAACAGCTTCCTCAGCGGCACCTCTTTGAGGTAAAGGTTGAACTCCCCTACGCCTGCCAGGGATGCGAGCGCTAATTGCTTAATGGCTCACCTGCGTGGAGCCCAGGAGCGCCCCAGCGATGTTGGTCCAGAGGAACAGCTTTCTCAGCGGCGCCTCTTTGAGGTGGAAGTTGAACACGCCCACCCCTGCTAGCGCTGCAGTGAGTGCTTGTAGCCTTGTGTGAGCCAAGCATAGGGATGTACCGTGTACCTGGGGTAGGGGGGAAGCCTTTGTGTCGCACCTGTGTGGAGCCTAGAATGGCCCCAGCAATGTTGGTCCAGAGAAAGAGCTTTCTGAGAGGCACTTCTTTCAGGTAGAAGTTGAACACCCCCACCCCTGCCAGAGAGGCCAGGGCGGTCACGAGGCGGACGCGGCCCAGGAACTCAGGGCCGAAGCCCAGCTCGTTGGTGCTGCAGGAAGAGAAGGGTGGGGGGGGGGGGGGAGGAGAGTGGATATTATGGACGCTTAGAAAGAATCGATGCAGCAACGCGAGCGCTGTCACGAGACGGACGCCGCCCAGGAACTCAGGGCCGAAGCCCAGCTCGTTGGTGCTGTGGGGGGAGAAGGAGGGTTGTGGGAGAGTGTGGAATATTATGGGGGCGAGTCTTTCTGATTATGGGGACTCAGCCCAAGGGCAGTCGCGAGACGGACACGGCCCAGGAACTCAGGGTCAAAGCCCAGCTCGTTGGTGCTGCAGACGCGGGGGGGAAGGAATGGGGGAGAGTGTAAGTGGGCGGGTCAATATTTGGAAACGCGATCAGGAGACTTCAGGGCTGACCCTTCTTGACTTTCCTTGACCCCCGTTGACTTCCGTTGACTCACGTGAAGAAGAACATGGCAGTCTCAGAGTGGGGAGTGGCCTGCCAGAGGAAGATGAAGGCGGTGGGCAGCAGAATGGCCGGCTGCCGAATCGTCTCCCACAGGAACACCACCTGCCCCCACGCCCACGCCCATGTCTCCCCTGCTCCGCCCCCTGCTGCTACCACTCCTCCTCCCACTCCTCCCAATGCTCCTCCTTCAGCTCCCCCTACTGCTCCTCCTTCCCCTTCTCTGTCTCCTCGACCTTCTCCTAGTCTCATGAGCTCTCCCACAGTCACTCCTGCTGTGCCAGTGGTTGTACTATCCTTGTTGGTGATAACCCTAGTGCCTGCGGTAACCCTTTCCTCTGGGACGTAGAATCCGACAGCAGTGGTGATGAGAGGCAGTAGGGCCGTCACTCCGAACACAAATCTGGATGGGAGGGGTAAGAAGTGGTGTAGTGGGGTTGAGAATACTGGGGAAGGAGGTGGATGATGAATAGGAGCAAGGGGAGTGTGGCATTGAAGGCGAAGGAGACGAGGAAGTGGAGGAGAAGGAGAAGGGGGAGTGGAGGAGAAGGAGAAGGGGGAGTGGAGGAGAAGGAGAAGGGGGAGTGGAGGAGAAGGAGAAGGGGGAGTGGAGGAGAAGGAGAAGGGGGAGTGGAGGAGAAGGAGAAGGGGGAATACAGCAGAAACGAAGGGAACTTCAGCAGAAGAGGGAGGAGAATGAAGGAGAGGAGATGAATGAAGCATGAGTCAGATGAGAAGAGAGAAAGGCATGGTGTCGCGATGAAGCATAGGACAAGGAGTGGTGAAACGTAGGGCTTGTGAAGCATAGGACAAGGACAGATGAAACGTAGGGCTTGTTCGTACTCTCTGACTAACACACCTTGCACACGCCCACACTCACCTTGTGCTGTAACTCTAAATCAGCGAGCCGCTGAAATACATGGATGGAGAGCACCACCCCACTGCTGACAACCATGGTGAAATTACTTTTGAGAATTCTCACAAGTGATTTCAGTAAGCCCCCCCACTGCTGACAACCCCCAACACAGCGACTGCAGCCTGCCTGATGTGATGTGATGTGATGTGATGTGATGTGACGTGATGTGATGTGATGTGATGTGATGTGATGTGATGTGATGTGATGTGATGTGATGTGATGTGATGTGATGTGATGTGATGTGATGTGATGTGATGTGATGGGTGCCGTTCCTTGAGTGCTCTGCCTGCCCTTCCCCCCCCCCCCCTCCTTCCCCCTCACCCCCCTTCACTACTCACCTTGTGCCGTAATTCTCAATGAGTGAGCCACTGAAATACGCTGAGAGAACAGCGCCCACTGCTGACGACCCCCAACAGAGAGACTGCAGCCCGCCTGATGTGGCCTGGGACTCGCCCCTTGCTCTCTGCACCACCATCGAGTCCACCACCTGAGGGCGGGAAGGAGAGGGAGGAGGGGAGAAAGAGAAGCAGAGAGTGAGGAGAGCAGAAACAGAGAATACAACTGCACGGCATACCACCACAGATACCACCACAGAGCACCGCATAGCACCACTCACCACGTCAGAAACAGCAGCAGAGAGCGAGGAGAGCAGGATCATCGCCAGTGCAGAGTACTTATCCCCCACCACCGTCGCCAGCGCACCCCAGCAGCCCACAGGCGACAAGGTAGGAGCGACGGCGGTAGCCCTACCGCACCGCATAGCACAGCCTAACACCACTCACCACGTCAGAAACCGCAGCAGAGAGCGAGGAGAGCAGGATCATGGCCACAGCGGAGTATTTATCCCCCACTACCGTCGCCAGCGCTCCCCACGCCAGCGACTCCAGCAGCCCCCACATGCCACCAGGTAGGAGGAACGACGACAGTATCCCTACCGTACCACATAGCACCGCAGAGCACCACTCACCACGTCAGAAACAGCAGCAGAAAGCGAGGAGAGCAGTATCATGGCCACAGCGGAGTATTTATCCCCCACCACCGTCGCCAGCGCACCCCACGCCAGAGATCCCAGCAGCCCACAGGCCACCAGGTAGGAGCGACGGCGGTAGCCGAAAAGAGGAATGCCATCGCTGATGAAGCCATAGATGGGCTTGATGAGCCATGGCAGGGAGGAGAGGCCCGAGAGGACTGCCACCTGAACAGGAGGGAGGGGGGGGGGTGGAATAATGGAGGGAGGAGAGGGTGGATGCAGGCGGTAGCCAAAGAGAGGGATGCCGTCGCTGGTGAAGCCATAAAATGGGCTTGATGAGCCACGGCAGGGAGGAGAGGCCTGATAGCCCCGCTACCTGGAAGGGAATGTGGGAAAGAGGAGGCAGAAAGAGATGGTTACAGGGCGTTGGATGGGCGTGCGCATGGGCGTGCGCATGGGCGTGCGCATGGGCGTGCGCATGGGCGTGCGCATGGGGTTGATGAGCCAGGGGAGGGAAGAGAGGCCTGACAGCACTGCCACCGGGGGGGTTGTTGGAGGAGCATGGGATGGGACGGGACCCCAGCAGGCCGCAAGCCACCAGGTAGGAGCGACGGTGGTAGCCAAAGAGAGGGATGCCGTTGCTGGTGAAGCCGTTAATGGGGTTGATGAGCCAGTGCAGGGAGGAGAGGCCTGATGAATACAGGAGGAGGTAGCCATAGAGAGCAATGCCGTCACTGATGAGAACTGAGAGCCGTTGAGATGAGTGTGTAGCAACACACTTGTCACATGCAGATGCCGATTTCTTCACACTTACATAGCAATGCCTCAGTCATAGCAATGCCTCAGTCATAGCAACGTTTCCCACCTCGGCAGGATCAAGCCCAAAGTCTTCCTTGAGCAGGAAAGTGACGGCAAGGCACGCCCTGCACGAGGTACACACTCGCGATCGCCACCACCTCTGGGGAGTCCTCACGCAAGCACATCAGAGCGCACACAGGCAGATGCAGAGACACGCACTGACCTCAGTGGGGTCAAGCTTGAAGTCGTCTTTGAGTAGGTACGTGACGGCGAGGCGAGCTAAGCCCAGCACGCCCAGAGTGGCATACAGACGACCTCAGATGCACTCATTCACACGCACGCACCTCAGCAGGATCAAGCTTGAAGTCGTCCTTAAGAAGGAAGGTGACAGCAAGGCGGGCCAGACCCAGCACGCCCTGCACGAAGTACACACTCGCGATTGCCACCACCTCCGGGGAGACGGCGCTTGCTCTCTCCACCACCCACGCGGGCACACCCGCGGAGAGAGCGCGGAGAGGATGCTCGGAAGGTGCAGAGAATTTTCCCCTTGGTGATGCCTGTTCCACTGCTGTATGTTCCCCTGCTCTGTATTCTCCTACTGTCTGTGAGTCGGCTCTCTGTAAGCTGACATCAGCTGTCGTGTACTCTGGCTGTGAAGGGTTTTCTGACTCCTGCTGCTGCTGCTGCTGCTCCTGCTGGTGTTTGTGCTTGTGCTTGTGCTTGGGTGGTGGAACGTCAGGGAACGCCTCTGCAGGTTGGGAAGAGGAGAGGGGAGGGGAGGGAAGAGGTGGTGGGGACAGGGTAAGGAGAAGAGACGGTGCTGGTGCTGGTGCTGGTGCTGGTGCTCGTGCTCGTGCTGATGCTTGCGCTTGTGCTGGTGTTCGTGTTTGTGCTTGTGCTTGCGTGGTGGAACGTCAGGAACGCCTCTGCAGGTTGCGAGGAACGGGGATAGGGAAAAGGGGTGTGGGGGGGGAGGGTGAGGAGGAGTGACAGCGGAGGAAGGAAGTCCATAGGGGAGGGAAGTGAGTAAGGATGGACAGTGTTCTGTGCTGGCTTTCTCCAAGCGGAAACGGCTCTGCGAGAAATGAAACCGGGTTACCTCATAACCACACCTCGGATGTCGTCGCCTTCGATGACCGACTTCGCACGGCAGCTGAATCGCCTCATCCGCGATTGGCGAAGGCCATTGCATCCTAGCCGTTGATTTCCGAAACTCCGGCCGCTGAATTCGGAGGCCAGCGACTGCCGAAATAGGACACTACGACGGGACGATTTTTGGGAAGGTTGGTAGGACCGGGACTGATAAGACTGATGAGAAGCACGAGGAGAGGAGGCGATCCATTGCCGAGCGGTACAGAGACTACTCGGCGCCAAACTACCGCAGGATGAGCGGCCTGCTGCTGCTAGTTCAGCCATTCCTCCGATGTACACTCCGCCGTATCAGAAGATCAGCGGACACGATGGCGTTGTCTCAAGGATACACGACTTCTGAAATGGCTTCACAAGCCGTTCAGAGAACAAATAATTTTCTAGCGTACATAGAGCTTCGGATAACAAACTGCTTTAGCCAGAATCTGACCAGACGAAATTGCTGCCTGTATGGTGACTAGCAGAAAATGCACATCGATGGAAATGCTGGTGCTTGCCTTGGGTGAAATTGGAATTCCCCAGAGAATAGTTTTGATGTGGCTGAATAGAATGCTTTACGTTTCAGAGCTCTTACAAAAGCTTTCAAGGCGGTTCGGTGGGGTACCTAGCAGTAATGAACTTCCTGGGTGCCCAAATGAATGACCAAGCGTGAACAACCTCGTAGCTTGTCCTCGTTGTGATAGGTCCAAATTTCGCGGTAGTAACACGTGGCATCGTCTCGCTCTGTACGATGAATCTGAGTTCGGGACAAGGGAAGGAGGAAATCCTCGTTATACTTCGGATGCGGCACTCTACAACTGAAAATTGACTAGAAAGCGTCTGTTTTCCAACTCGAGTGTTGCGAGCGGCAGTTGCGGAATGGCTCCTAGTTCAAGCTCGCGGCGCATTGGACAGGCGTTCTTAGCAGCGGCTCCGTCATTCATGCGCTCGGCTTTCCAGGCCTCTCGACGCGATCCTGGTCTGGTCGTCGCTTCGATCCGAGCACACTCCGTGCAACAACTCGCGCGTTCCTGCAGCCACAAATCAGTTCAACGCCCGTTACTGTCACGATCTCCACCTTTTCGCCATGTGTCGTCCCGCTTCATCTCCGATCCAACGACCCGTCATAATCACTGGCGTTTACAGTCACTTCACTCAGCAACCCGGATTGTCCGACCAACGATCCACTGTCAAGATCTCTCCTCCGCAACGCCAGCCGTCGTTCCCGTCCGCTCACTCAATATCTTCACTGTTTTCCGGAAGGAATCGCGGGATAAGGAGATAGAACGCCTGAAGGACGAGTTGAACCGCGGATACTTCGACGATTTTAAGGAGCTCAAGGAAACTGGCGGGAAACTGGGCCCTTCTCCTACCTCGTCGCCGCTTCCAGCCGCTGGAGCCGCGTTGTTCCCGCGAATCACGGGAACCACGTCATCCAGGGCGTCAGTGGAGCTGCCCCTCGATCTGCAGGGAGACACGTGTCCAGTGGTGCTGGTCTGCGTGGCATTCCGTGCAAACGCTCAGGTAATTATGTCTGCTGCTCTACTTCCCGCTAAACTTCAGGTGGATACAGGGAGCAGTACCTCACAAAAAAAAGCAGGAAATCTTCCTGTCTGGAGTGGCTTGGAAATCCACCTGCCTTTTGTGAAACAGCTGACTTTCCTCTCTTATGGAACGTTCCCCTTACACTCCACTGATATCATATCACCAGTATGCCTCACTCCCAAGCCGCTCCCATCAAAATCTCAGTTCAACTCTTGTTATTTCCTGTTTGTCACACTTCTTAATTCTTGCTGTTCAGGGCATGGTGGAATCATGGCTAAAGCCCTTTCTCCAGCACGCCTCCAGCAGCTCATCTTCTGCTGCTCCCTCACTTTCAACCCCTTCCCACACTCCCGCACCGGCTTCCACCACACCCGACTCCTCTCAACCCACGGATAGCCTACCCCACCGCTTTCCACCGGGCTCTGTGCGCGCGGTGCACATCTCATGGATCGAGTCTTGGCTGCTGTCAACCCGACCCATCCGATCCTGGCTGCTCAGCAGCTTGCGTGGAGCTGAGGCCAAGCAGCAGGCACGCTTGGCAGATGCTGTTGGTTCAGAGGGAGTGGATGGGGTGCTGACGAATGTATATGCATTTGGGGATGCGTGGGAGTTCAGGAAAAGACTGGGCATCGTTAACAGGCTCACGGGGTGAGTTCTACTTTGCACCTACTCCATCATCTGATGGGGTGAGTTATTGTTTCTGCATAATCGTCTGTTGATTTTCAAACCAAACATTCCTGTACTCGCCTCACCCTTCTGTTGTTATTCCTTCTGCTCTGCTCCGTTGTCCTTGTGTGCAGCTATGCTTTCCTCGTGGATGGCAAAGGTCGTGTTCGATGGCGTGCATCAGGCACAGCCTCTGATGACGAAGTGACATGTTTGCTTTCTGCAACCGATAAACTCTTGAAAGAATGATCCAACAAGAAATCATGACAAATATAAAAATGAGAGCAATGCAGTATCATGTGAAATGTACATACTGTAATTTCTGTTAACCCATGTACTACCAAGGAATATTGCAAATAAAGTATGGCCTCGTTTTTCAAGACTCAGGTATGATATGATGCACACACGCTTGCACAACTCCCCATCTCACCACTAATTCTGTGTTTGACCAGTAAAGCCCACCCAGGAGACCTGCGTCGGGTGGTTGTGTTGTGTGGGTGAGAGGGACGATGCTCCTCTTGTCAAATGTTGGTAGCCTGTAGTGAGATGTGTCTTTGGGGGTACGTATGTTAGGGTTTGCTACTTGTACCCCAACCACCATCAATGAAACAACACTTCCGATCTTGAGATGGTATCACCTAGGTTAGGATCCTGTAGGATCCCGTTCCTCCCGACCTCGTTCGTATCGCCCGAGCCTGTCTCCCTCTCTCGTATTACTTACGCACGTCTTGCCCGAGCCTAGCGCCGGCCCGCTCTCGTCCCGTTCCTTCGTTACCGCACGTTCCGCCGATCCCCTACTCGAGTAGCGTAGCGACCTTCCTCCCCCCTGCTGGCCCATCGCGTTTTCCCCCCTCCGAGGCCCGTCGAGTCGCGTTTTTCCCCCCGCTGCCCGTCGAGTCGCGTTTCCCCCCTTGCTGCCCGTCGAATCGCGCTCTCCCCGCCCGTCGTCCCGTCGCCCGTCCCCCCCTTACGCGCGCCACCGCTGCGCATTCCCCCGTCGCCCGCCGCAGCCTGCGCCCGTCGCCGCGGCGCCCGCCGTCGCTACCCGCCGCGGCGCCCGACGTCGCACCCGCAGCCTGCGCCCGTCGCCGCGGCGCCCGCCTTCGCTGCTCGTCGCGTCGCGCGCGCGACTGCCCTTAGCCCCCGCACGGCTCCCCCTTAACGCCCGCCCCCGCGCCCGCGCGGCTGCCCTTAGCCCCCGCGCGGCTGCCCCTTAACGTCCGCCCCCGCGCCCGCGCGGCTGCCCTTAGCCCCCGTGCGGCTGCCCCTTAACGCCCCCCCTGTTTAGCTGCGCCTCTACCTCGTTTAGGGTTTCACGCTTCGCCCTTTGCCCGCCCGATTTTCGCCACGCCATCTCGTTTAGGGTTTCCTGCCTCCGCTTTTCCGTCGGTTTTAACGATGGCGACTCCGCGTGTTCTTCGCTTCGACGCTGACGGTAGACCCCTTGACTTTTCGCTCTGGCTTCTGCGCGCTCGCCGTCAGTTGGAGAGTCAGGTCCAGTCAGGCGAGACCCTCTGGGCGCACGCTGCTGGTGCCCTCCCTGCGCCCCCCGACCCTACGCCTTTAGGTCCTGCCCCTGACGACGCCGCTAGAGCTCGCTTCGCTAGCCAGCGCGCTGACCTGACAGCCTGGACGTCGCGTGACGCTGCGGCCTGCATCGCGCTCAGCACCCTTCTCCCCGAGTCTGAGGAGGCTCACTTTGCTCAGGTTCGCACTGCTGCTGAGTACCTGACTGCGATTAAGGCCCGCTACTCCACTCCTGCTGCTGTCTCTCTTGGCCGCCTTTTCCTCCCGTTCCTGTTCCCTGATCTCGCCTCTTTTGAGCGCTCTGCTGACTTGATTGCTCACCTCCGCTCGCTCGACTCTAGTTACCGCGCTGCTTGCACTGAGGCCCAGCTCGCACTGCTTCCTCCTCCCATGGCGATTACTATCTATTTTATCGCCACCAGCCTCCCCGACCGCCTTGCCTCCGTTCGTGACGCGCTTCTCCTGAAGCACCCTAGTGAGCTCACTGTTGACGTCCTTGAGTCTGCTCTCAAGGACGTCGAGAGCAACCTCCGCTCCGTCGCCGCTGCCTCTGGTGCTGTGCCCCCTCCGCTCTTCCACGGGTGCACAGTTCCGCAGTTGCCCACCTTTACTGCCTCTCTCGCCACTGCCGCTACTGACGCGACCGCAGCTGCTGTTACGACTTCGTCGCGGTCCCGCGGTAGGGGTGGCAAGAGGGGCGGTGCTGGTGGCGGCGTTGGTGGAGGCGGAGGTAGTGGGGGTGGCGTTGCGACTGGCGGTGGTGGGAGTGCAGGGCCTGGAGAGACGTCTCGTGCAGCGACCGGTGACTCCACTGCGACTGCTGGTGGTGGCGACGCCCGCGTTCGTCAGTCGCCCCCTGTACTGCCAGCCCCGGTGGGTGGGGCAGCGGCGTGGTACCGGGCCCAGCGTCAGCAGCAGCTTCAGCAGCAGCAGCAGCCCCTCTCCTCCCAGCAGCCTCCGCAGCAGCAGCGGCCGCAGCTGGCTTCGGGGTCGGGGCCGCGTCAGCCGCAGCGTGGTGCTGTTTACCCTCCCTGCGCCTATCAGGTTCTGACAGGTGCTCGCCGGGGCCACCCTTGTGGCCGCCTTCACCCCCCTGGTCAGTGTTTTGCTCAGCTCACTGACACGGTTCGTTTGGTTTACGGGGTTGGCGGTCCTGCCCCTGACTGGTTCCCCCTTGTTCAGCGTTACGGTTCCGCTCTGTGGGACATGTCTGCCGAGCAGTTAGCTGATCTGATTGGAACTCCTCATGCTATGTATGCTGTTGTTGACTCTAGTGTTTCTGACTCTGTTTACTCTGGTGT